GGCGATTTGTGGGCCATACCAAGGATGTGCTGAGTGTGGCGTTCTCCTCTGACAACCGGCAGATTGTCTCTGGATCTCGAGATAAAACCATCAAGCTATGGAATACCCTGGGTGTGTGCAAATACACTGTCCAGGTAAAGTGAGGGCACGGTCAGAGCATGTGTCTACGGTTCTCTCCCACCCTTGTCTGGGCTCGGCTCATGCTTGTAATCCTGACCCTTTGGTAGTCCAAGGTGGGAGGTTTGCTTGAGGACAGGAGAGCAGCCTGGCCAACATACTGAGACCCCCATCTCTGAATTTTGTGTCTACTTTTTGTTGTTGTTGTTGTTCTGAGGCGAAGTTTCACTTGTTGCCCAGGCTGGGGCGCAGTGGCAATCTTGGCTTGCTGCAGCCTCCACCTCCTGGGTTCAAACAGTCCCCTGCCTCAGCCTCCCAAGTAGCCGGGATTATAGGTGCCTGCCACCACACCCAGCTAATTCTTGTATTTTTGGTAGAAAGGGTTTCACCATGTTGGCCAGGTGGGTTTGGAACTCCTGACCTCAGGTCATCCACCCGCCTCAGTTTCTCCAAGTACTGGGATTACAGGCGTTGAGCCACTGCACCCAGCCCCCATCTCTAAATTTAAAAAAAAAATGTCTTGTCTAGAATCTAAAGGGATTCTGTTGAGCTTAAAGGTTTTCCTGGGTTTTTGAGAGGTGCTGTTAGTCATCATCCTACTGGAGGGACTAGCATTTCAGAGGATCAGACTGTTTCCCCTTATTTCCTTTTCATCCACTGTAGGATGAGAGCCACTCAGAGTGGGTGTCTTGTGTCCGCTTCTCACCCAACAGCAGCAACCCTATCATTGTCTCCTGCGGCTGGGACAAGCTGGTCAAGGTGAGCTTCGAGCCAAAGCAGGGGCTTTACCAGTCAGGTTGTGCTCCCAGGTGGTTATAGGCTCCAACTCCCGTGTAAGGCTTTACAGATTCCCTCAGTTGACTCTTTCTCTTGTTACATGATCTGAAGAAGCTAATTGATATCCCTTATAAGTCCAGACATAGCACTGGGTATGTGTCATAATGTAACTTTAAGTGGCCAGGATGTGTTACTGAATGATAAATGCCTATTTTATCCAGCAATGCCAAGCCCTTTTTTGTTGGGTCTGACCCTAGTTGATCAGAGCTAGGTTGTTCACCTGTCAATGTCATATTTATGCAGGTATGGAACCTGGCTAACTGCAAGCTGAAGACCAACCACATTGGCCACACAGGCTATCTGAACACAGTGACTGTCTCTCCAGATGGATCCCTCTGTGCTTCTGGAGGCAAGGTATTTGGGGGCTAGGAGTTTCCTATTCAGTGAAAGACAGTGTCATGGAAGGAGCACTTAACCAGCATCTCTACCATAAAATGACAAACATTAGCCAAGATGGTTTTAGGATAATGAGATGACAGTCTGAGAATATGTTTCCAAAGATTACTATTCAGCAAATGACAGTTAAGGCATACTGTCTAGAAGAAAAAGTTGGGTTGTTTTTTAGAGATGGAATTTTGCTTTTTGCCCATTCTAGAGTGCAATGGTGCGATCTTGGCTCACCGCAACCTCCACCTCCTGGGTTCAAGCAGTTCTCCTGCCTCAGCCTCCCAAAGTGCTGGGATTACAGGCGTGAGCCACCGTGCCCTGAAAAAAGATTATTTTCTATGAAGTTGGTTTCTTGAAGCAATTGATGAGATTGAGATCCTAGTTTTCAGAAATGATAACAGTGTTTATATAAATTGGGAGGATTTTTATTGATAATGTTGGTAAGGTCTTGCGTTAAAGGAAGGGCTTATAGAAATAAATTGGTACTCAAGTCATTAGCTTTCAAGAAACCTGGGGTAATGGAAGACAGGTAAGAACTGATTCTGATGGAATCTTGAGATGGGCAGGATTAACATCTGGAACAGGTCATAGTGTCCTGATTAACCTACCTGTTTGCCCAGGATGGCCAGGCCATGTTATGGGATCTCAACGAAGGCAAGCACCTTTACACCCTAGATGGTGGGGACATCATCAACGCCCTATGCTTCAGCCCTAACCGCTATTGGCTCTGTGCTGCTACAGGCCCCAGCATCAAGATTTGGGTGAGTGTGGATTACAGTTGAGTGAGTACCTGGCTACACTCTCTAAGCCCTGACAATGTTTTGGTTACTATATATGCCATCTGACTCCCATGTGGCAGCTAAGCTTACTCAATATCCACAATTGACATCTGGATAACTCTTTGTTGTGGAGTGCTGTCTTGTACATTTTAGGATGTTTAACAGCATTTCCAGCATCTACTAGATGCCAGTAGCAAACCACCCTTCCACTATGGCAACTAAAAATGCATCTAGGCATTGATAACAAAATCATCCCTTTGTAACTTGAAAATCTTGAGTTATAAAGGGGCTTTTAATAGGGGAGTCCGTCATTGGTAAACATTTTAAGGGTGCTTTTGCTCTCCCCAGGATTTAGAGGGGAAGATCATTGTAGACGAACTGAAGCAGGAAGTTATCAGCACCAGCAGCAAGGCAGAACCACCCCAGTGCACCTCCCTGGCCTGGTCTGCTGATGGCCAGGTAAGTGGGTCTGTCCTCTTAGGTAACTTGGCCAATGACTTTTCTCCCTCATTCTGTTAGTGTATCTAGTCTGTCAGACACAAGAGCAGCGTCTTTGGCATTAAGTGAAATGACAGCATAAGCATAATGCCCTAATTTGCCATGCCAGTGAGTACGTTTCTGCATCAGAGGGGAGATTGATCTGGAGGGCAGTGGCTATCAGCTTTCAGTTAATACCTTGATTAATCTGATCGGTTTTCAAATGTCTAGATCCTTATCACCAGCGGTTTCTTCCTCAAGGAATACATAACCACCACTTACATAATGTGACTGTTGAAGAGAGAGGGTTTTGTCTCATTTTTCTTGCTGAGACAGTCTCACTTAATCTTGCCAAGCTGGAGTGCAGTAGCATGATCCCAGCACATTGCAACCTCCATCTCCCTGGTTCAAGCGGTTCTCCTGCCTCAGCTTCCTGAGTAGTTGGGACTACAGGCGTGCACCACCACGCCCAGCTGATTTTTTTATTTTTTAGTAGAGGTGGGGCTTCACCATGTTGGCCAGGATGGTCTTCATCTCTTGACCTTGTGATCTGCCCACCTTGGCCTCTCAACGAGCTGAGATTACAGGCATGAGCCACTGTGCCCGGCCAAGAGAGAGGTTTCTTACAGACACCCCAGCATGGTGGCACATGCCTATGCGAGGCTGGGGTGGGAGTATCACTTGAACTGCAGGGGCTCAAGGCTTCAATGAGCCAGGATTTCACCACTGCACTGAAGCCTGGATAACAGAGCAAGACTCAAAAAAGCCACTTTTGCTTAATGTAGTGAGACTGTAGAGTTTATGATGCCAACCTGACCTGTCATTGTCATTTCTCCCCTGCAGACTCTGTTTGCTGGCTACACAGACAACCTGGTGCGAGTGTGGCAGGTGACCATTGGCACCCGCTAGAAGTTTGTGGCACAGCTTTACAAATTAAAGGAAAAAACTGGGTTTTTTGACTTTTAGAAGGTGTTATTTTTTTCTGATAAGCAAAAGGGTTTACCCTATCTATATTGCTTATGCATGAAATTTGCACTAGCAAGTTGGACATAAGGTATGTACTAAGTAAACAAGGCTTTGAGCGGGGAAGGGGAGTTAAGTTCTCAGGATTGGGGTAGCATAAAGTGGGATGTTAATGAGAAATCATAGCATTTTCCCTGAACCTAAACCCCATCAGTGTACCACCTATCAGGTGCAGATCATCAGGACCTACCTTCCACCTGGGGAACCTTGAGGGAAAGGACTGATTATTTCAAGGTGGTTGCAGTCAATTTTCAGGAAAAGCAGACTCCTCACGTCTAACCCCTGACACATAAGAATGGAACAAAGATGAATCCTCATTCCTCTTAAGACTTGAATATAGTTCAGAAGACTTCTTTAAGCTTGGCCTGGCAGTCTCTATCAACTTGGGTCTTTGAGGAAAATCAAGAGGTTTTTTGTTGTTTTTTGTGTGTGTGTGTGTGTGTTTTTGAGATGAGTTTTGCTCTGTTGCCCAGGCTGGAGTGCAGTGGCATGATCTCAGCTCAGTACAACCTCCTGAGTAGCTGGGATTACAGCCTCCTGTAACCACACCAGCTAACTTTTGTATTTTTCAATAGAGACGGGGTTTTGCCATGTTGGCCAGGCTGGGCCAGAACTTCCAGCATCAAGAGATCTTGCCATCTCAGCCTCCCAAAGGGTTGGGATTATAGGTGTGAGCCACCAGACCCATCTGAGTTTTTAATTCAACTCTCACTAGAGTTTACAACTTATTTATTCCTCATAATTACAGGTTAAAAGTTTTGGGGTGGTCAGAAAGTATTCATAAACATAACCATAAAGTTGGCCCTACTAAACATTTCCACTGCTGCTAACCTGGCCCTCAACCACTCAGGTTACTCAAGAGGATAGATGCCTTGTGAAAGGCCAGAAGTCAGCTGTTAAACTACAATTAATTAGCTTCAGATAGAAAACTTAGGGATGAACCATTCAAAATATGGCTGAGACCCCACTGTCCTTGAAGTTTCTCTGCAGTTGTGTGATGGCTAATCAACTGAAGGCCCACTTAAGCCTTCACTCCCTACTGCCCTCAATCTGTAATGGTGGTGAGGCATTTCTGGCTTCAGTTTTCATGTATGTGTGTGCATGTATGTGTGTACTGTTCCTAGGACCTGGGCTTGTTAACTATGGGTGTAGAGATTCTTGAGAACCTCACTCCTACAGCTTCAAAGTAATGGAAGGAAGTGGCAAACATCTCTAAATGTTAGTAAATTAGGTAGGATATTAAAATGGGGAGCAGGGTCTATATCCCTGTTGATAGGTGGTAAAAGATGCAAAACATGCCTTAGTTCTGTGGCTTCTCGTTGAAGGGGAAGGGAAGGAAAAAACCCTTAGCCATATCCTTATCTAATGGAATGGACCTCACAAGAGAAGCAAATATTTTATTTCCATAGCACCCCTTCCCTTTTCCCAAAGAACATGAGTTCACCTCAGCCATCAAAGCAGAGGGCAAAAGCTGATAAGTGACAAGGCAAGGCGTTACTAGAAAAATAGATTATACCCAAGACTCTCCTCTTGGGGACCCAGACCCCTGTCTTCAGGCTTCTCCTCAGGGCTTGCCAAATGGAGGGAATTAAAGATATGGAAAGGAATTGGAAGCCAGGTCTGTTGAACAAAGGGGAAAGGAGCCTGGCACTGAATAGACCTGGATGGGGGGTGAGGTGGCATAAGCTTTGTTTCTCAATTGAGTGCTGGAGAAGGGAAACGGGAAGAAATAATTTATTGGGCGATGTAATGGTACGTGTTTGAATCATGGCGACCATTCCAGATCTCTCAAGTGAAGCTAAATTCTGGCTGGTCTATGGAGGTAGAAATTGAGGACGGAAGGAAAGTTTGCCTCCCTCCCCAAATGGCTTCCAAATCCCTCAGCTAAAATTTGCATCAGAAAATGGAACTGGAATGGGGACGCTGTCTCACCCAAATCCTCCAGCCTCAGAACTGATGTAAAGGTTGAAGGGCATGGATGAGGAAAAGGAAGTTAAGGAATGAAATTGCAATTTCCCCTCAACCCCTACTCAAATTCAGGTCCCAGGGCTGGGCTAGGCAGACAGGGAGAGAAGACCAGGCAGCTGTTCTCATTACCAGGGACCCATGCAGACCTGGTGGACAGACATAGTAGGTGAGAGAAGGCTTAGCTGGAGGCCAGGAGGGTTCTTTAGGCTCCTAGAGGTAGAAGCAGGGGCCTGGGGTCAAGGGGGAGTGGGAAGCAACACTAAACAGTGGGAAGAGCCTTTGAGCCCTCCAACTTATGGGCCACCCTCCTCCACCACCCGCCCCCCAAGTGCTGACCAGAGGGGCCCCTGCGGGTGGCAGGATGATCAAGGGCAGAGCTTGATGCGGGTGCCCTTGGAGAGCACCCGGAAGAAAGGAAAGACACGCTCACCCAGGAATGCAGCCGAAAAGGTGTGCACGTGGGCTAGAGTCTCTGCGTTGTAGAAGCCCAGGCGCCCAGCTTCATAGTCCAAGTACACACCAAAGCGCCGTGGTTTCTCACTCGGGCTCAGCAGTGTCTGTTCTGTTGAGCTCTGGGCCTGGTAGCGTTTGCCATTGGTGCCCACACACCACACTTCCCGCTGGAGCAGGGGCTGCTGGGGTAGGTGGAGCCGGCGACGGCGATGGTGATGGCGCGAGGAACTGGCATCCCCGCTGCCCATGGAGGACCCCCCAGGGCCAACCTTTTCCTTATGATGGGTTGATTCACGGGCAGCACCCACCGCCCAGCCCCGCCGCCCGCCCACCTCTACCTCCCAGTAGTGCCGGCCAGAGCGGAAACCCTGAGCCCCTAGTACACAGCAGTCGGCCGAGAAGCGCTTGGGATGGTCAGCAACCTCCTGCCGCCGCTCTGCCAGGCGGACCCCCCGGCGATCAGGGGACAGCATCAGGGCCGGGTGAGCCGTGTCAGGGTCCAGCGTCAGGTCCACTTGGGAGGGGGGGGGAGGACAAATATGCCAGAGCTAGAACAACTGTTCCCCTTTCAGCAGCCAACTCCACAGATTTGGCCTTTCCTGCCTCCTTCCTGAATCTAGCTCCCCACACCATCCTAGAGGCCAGCCTCAGATTCCACCAGGTTCCATCTTGCTCCTCTTCCCAGGATACCTACAGGTCTTCCCCTAGCCCCAGCTCTTCTTGCCACTCCACCCCACCCCCACCCACCAGGCCTGCCTGGACTAGGACTACCTGCTCATGGTTTGAAACCTCAACCTCTGAGGTTATATCCTGCTCCGTCTCAACCCCCACAATTTCCCTGGGGCTCAACTTCCCTCAGGACCCAATCTAGGGTCTATGAAGGGAAAGGCAAAGGAAGGTCGTGGAGGTGACCTCCCTACCTCTCGCAGCCTGACAGAACATCCGGCTCATTTTCCTCACGATGGCGTCTGTCAAGAAGTCATGGCTATGGGGTTGGCACGGGTCAGGGGACCAGACCTCTGGGGGCTGCAGCTGTACCTCTTCACACCTGGAGGAAGGGGACCGGGCAGGGGGTGGGACTATGATATTCCCAGAGGGAAGAACAAAAGCTGAGGGGAAGGAGAGGAGGGTCCAGGAGGTAGAAACTCAGGTCCTAGGGAAGGAAGGAGAGGAAAGGGATACCCAAGAGAGGCAGGGACAGGGAACCAGATTCCACTGGGTCACAAAGGGTAAAGAGTGGGAACACACCTATTGAAAGTCTCCTTGATGTCCTGGGAATAAGAGAAACAAAAAGAGGGAGAGGGAGAAAGAAAGAGAGTGTCAGCTGCATAGGGACAGCTTTCCCCAATCTCTAGCCAGAGACTGAACCTGAGCAGGAAGGGAGAAGCAGCACCTTCACGGCCTCAATAGACACACATCATTTCAACCACCCCATGCCTCACCATACCTAACTCGTCTCTTCCTGCTGTAAGCCCAGGAATACTGTCCTTTCCATAATATGACTTGCTCTCCTTTTTTGGGAAGTCACTGTCAAAAATCCTTTCCTCAACTGTCATTTAAACCTCTCCTACAACCGAATCTTTCTGTTTTTCACTGGGTATAATCATCACACATACCACATTCGACATTAACTCTATCTCGAGCTTTAAAAAATGTTTTTGGTCTTCAGGTTAAATCATTGTGGGTTCCTCCCAGTGAGAAGCAGCAGCTCTGGACAGGTGTTTGGTAAGCACTGCCTGACAGCCAACAAAGAATGCTAGGGGAACAAGGAGTGGACAGTGCTTACCTGGAGCAGCCGGAGACCCCCCTGCTGGCTCCGCTCCTGGGCCTCGGCCAGCAGGCGGCTGAGCTGGGCGGCCTGCTCTGCAAGGCGACTGGCTGCGGCTCCCGCACGTCCCAGCTGGGCTTCATGCATCTCTCGGAGACGCCGTTCCAGCCCTGCCTGCTCTTCAGCCAGAAACCGTGTCAGCCGCCCAAACTCTGAGGCCACTGCTGCTAGCTCTGACTTCATCTGGCTCTGGAATGGTGCAAAGGGGATGGTAGATGCCACCTCAACACATAAGAAGATAACCTCCAGTTTTACAACTACCACTTCACAAGGCAAGGCAAAGAGCCCTATACTCCCCAGGTCGAAGAAAGTCCTAAAAAGAGGTTTATTTCCTACCAGACTTACTTCTCAGCCTTACCAGATGCCACCCCCTTGCTTCCAGCACACTGGTCCCAAACTCACCAACCTCTGCCTGGAACACTCCTCTCCACATGGTCTAACTTGACTCATCCTTCAGGTCCAACCTTAAATATTCCAAGAGAAGCCTTTCCTCTTCTCTAGATCTAAATCGGGACCATCCCCACAAATATCTTCTCTAGATCTAAATCAGGACCATCCCCACAAATATCACTGTTTTCTCTTTGTGGCACACATAATATTGAAACGTTGGGCCAGGCGCAGTGGCTCATGCCTGTAATCCCAGCACTCTGGAAGACTAAGGTGGGCAGATCATGAGGTCAGGAGATTGAGACCATCCTGGCTAACACAGGGAAACCCTGTCTCTACCAAAAATACAAAAAATTAGCTGGGTATGGTGGCATGCGCCTGTAGTGCTGGCTACTCAGGAGGCCGAGGCAGGAGAGTTGCTTGAGCTTGGGAGGAGGAGGTTGCAGTGAGCTGAGATCATGCTGCCACTGCACTCTAGCCTGGGCGACAGAGCAAAACTGTCACACACACCACACCACACACACACACACACACAAACACACACACACAAATATTGTGTTTACAATGACATATCCTTTAACATCCTTTGCCCCACTGTACCATAAGCTCTCACTGGCAGGGACTAAGAATGTCTTTAGTTTGCCACAGTGCCCTCAGACCCTGACATGGCACCAACCGGAGTAGGCACTTGGTAAAAATTTTTTTAAATGAATAAAAGAATTCAGGAATCAAGACATGAAGTTAGGGTCCTGACTCTACCATTAAACACAGTGACTTTAAGAAAGTCACCCAAAAGCCCTAGACAGGACTCTGAAAAACTTTTTCTGTAAAGGTCCAGATAGTAAATATTTTTATGCTTTGTGGGCTAAGAGGCAAAAATCAAGGATATAATGTAGATACCTAATATCCTGTAAAAGAAAAATCTCCTGCCCAGTTCCACCCCATTTGCCAAGAATGGGCCATCCTGGGTGGTGGACATACTTTTCACCCAGTTACCATCAGCTGGAGACACTGTGAGTAACAGGCCAGAGTAGGGTCCTAACTGACTAGATGCGTGAGGGGAATAGCCGCCACAGTCAGTTTCACTCTACCCCAGGGGCACACAAATCCTGTTACCTCTATACCCAGTAAAGCCCAAAAGTATCAACTTGGGCAGCTGGCCAGAAGCAAGATGATGTCCTACTCCCAGACGGATTCTAACATTCACTGCCTAGCAGCTGCCAGCAGCAGTCCCTAATGTTTAGGTGGCAGTGAGCATGGGCCCCGGGCAGTGGCAAGGCTCAGGCACTGGCTGGGAAGGGAAAGGAAGAGGGACAGAAGGGGAGGTCTTGGCTTGGTCTATGAAGCTCATAGTTCCAGCCCACTCCAGCAGGGCCCGCTGGGTTTATGAAAACAGGCCGGGGGTGGGGAATGGAGAAATATCTTAAGACTCCTTGGAGAAGGGTGAGCAATAATTTAAAAAAAAAAAAAAAAAGGGTGGGGGGGTTCTGAGAAAACACTGGACTAGGAAATATTCGGTCTCTGCAATGCTAACATACACTAATTCCTGCCCCAGCTTAAACACACTGGTCCCTTCCCGGGACACAGCAAGTGTCCCAAGACCGTGTCAGGCTCATCTCAGGGCTTCTCTGCCCACTGACTGCATTGATCCTGGGGCCAGCAGCTTCTCTGTTGGCTGCTGTGTGGGTTTTGCTTTGCCCACTTCAAGCTCTGGTGTCTGGGTAGAAAGCCTGTTCTGCAGCCTTAGGCCAGAGACCCAGCCCCTTCAATCCAGGCCTCAGTTTCCACTCCATTTTGGAACTCAAGAATGGACATGCCTACTGATTCTCTAAGCCACCTCTCCTCAGTACCTAGGAAAAGAATCTACCCCTCTCCCAGGCATTGGCTGTCCCCTCCTCAGGGGACCAAGTCACCACTTGTGAGATGGGCAGCACCACCTTCCTTGCCTTGACCACAGACAGTACCCATCAGCCCGTCAAGGGCATTCACTCACTTTCAGCTCTGTCACTCGCCTCTCCTCCCTGGCCTTCATCTTCTGCACAGCCTCCAGGTGCTTCCTCAGTGGTTCCAGGTGCCCCTGCAGTTTGGCCTGAGGAAATAGAAAAGTGGGGGCTGGGAGAGGCACCTGCCCCTTTAGAGCTGACCTCTGCAATCCTCCCTACAGCAAGTTGGGCCCCAAAGCCTGATCCCTACCCACTCAATGGGTGTCAAGTATCATATTCCTTCCTCCACTTTCTTCTTTCAGGTGACAAAAGCCTCCAATCCCCTCTGTGCAAGTTTGTAGAGGCCCTGTGTATTCTCTAAAGCTAGGAGCCTCAAAACTAGAGAGCCCCCAGACTCACAGCTGAGGGGGAAGTAGCTTGAGCCCTACATCAGTCTCTCCATGAGTACTCTTACCTTTGGTCCCTGCCCCCTTCACAGGCAATCCTCCCCAGACCTTTTCTCTTAAATACTTTTCTAATGATTTTCTGCCTATGCTAAAAACCCTTCCACGGTTCTCTACCAACTTCCAAAACATCGATCCCAAACTTCTAGCCTCACCTCTACACTCAACGCCTTCCACACAGACTCTTAAGAGGTTTGGCTATATAAAATTACTTGTCATTTCCTGATTATCTTTCCATGCTATTTCCTCTGTCTGAGACTGCCTTTCTCTACTTGGCCCAAGGTATTCTTCCTTTGAAACACAACTCCCTGAAAATGGCCCTGATCCTCCCCATACCCAACTTCCCTGTGATCCCAAGAAACATCTAATACATTACTTCACAGGGCACCAATAATTGACAGGTGTGCCTCCTCCAGGACACTATGGAGTCCCTCCCCACACTTTACTTATTTCAATTTCTGTGCTTCTGCTCATCTGTTTTCTCTCCTGCTCACTTACTTGCTTGCTAAATGGGACACAAAAACAAAACCCCTCTTCCAAAGGCTGTAACTGTCACAGCCAATTGGCACATGAGCTCTGTGTTTCCACAATTTGTAGTCAAATCTTTTTCTTTAAGGGGCTTTTAGCTGGGCTGGGTGCGGTGGCTCACACCTGTAATCCCAGCACTTTGGGAGGCTAAGGCAGGTGGATCACAAAGTCAGGAGATCAGGACCATCCTGGCCAACACAGTGAAACCCCATCTCTACTAAAAATATTTAAAAAATTAGCCAGGCATGGTGGCTTATGCCTGTAGTCCCAGCTACTCAGGAGGCTGAGGCAGGAGAAATCCCTTGAACCCGGGAGGCAGAGGTTGCAGTGAGCTGAGATCTCGCCATTGCACTCCAGCCTAGGCGACAGAGCAAGACTCTATCTCAAAAAATTTTAAAACAAAATAAATTAATTAATAAAAATAAAGAGCTGTTAGCCCAGAAAGAGTGGAATAAGCCCTACCTATTTGTTCTTTCCTTTTTTATGTTTTCTACTAGCCTTTCTCTCTCATTTTCTTTGAGAGATAATATAGGGTAGGAGAGTCCAAGCCTACACTCCCATGACCAGAGTGAAATGAAGTGACCTCAGGCAAGCCATACTTTCAGTTTCCTCAGCTTCAAATAAGAAGAGAACATACCTCAAGGATAGTACACTTAGTGCAGTGCCTGGCATGTAGCAAAAGACCAGTAAATGTTACCTATCTAATATTTGCTACTTATAGCTTAAGCTGCCAGTGACATCCTGATAATGACCCCTGAACTAAAGAGGTTACCAAGCCAGAGGACAAACGGCAGTTGTTGCACAGAATAAGTGGTTAGAGACAAAATTACAGCAATAATGGAATTAGTCAACTCATAACATGAAAACAGCATAAACTATACAAAATTTGGCCTTCTAACTTCCTACTTTTCTACAGTAGTCAATAATTTCTCCATTCGTTCAGAATTTATAATGCTTAAATTTACCACTTAGTGTTTCTTTATTTTGAGACAGAGTCTTGCTCTATCGCCAAGACTGGAGTGCAGCAGTGCCATCTTGGCTCACTGTGACTTCATCTCCACGCACTGTGACTTCCATCTACTGGGTTCAAGAGATTCTCCTGCCTCAGCCTCCCAAGTAGCTTGGATTAAAGGTGCCTGCAACTACATCCGGCTAATTTTTGTATTTTTAGTAGAGATGGGGTTTCACCATGTTGGCCAGGCTGGTCTTGAACTGCCTACCTCTGTCTCCCAAAGTACCGGGTAACAGGCATGAACCATCGTGCCTGGCCCCTAAATTGTTGCCAAAACCAAAATTCATAAGCACAAATTCAAATAGTTTTTTTTTTTTTTTTTTTTTTTTGAGACAGAATCTTGCTGTGTTGCCCAGGCTGGAGTACAGTGGCATGCTCCTGGCTTACTGCAATCTCCGCCTCCCGGGTTCAAGGGATTCTCTTGCCTCAGCCTCCCAAACAGCTGGGATGACAGTGGCATACCACCACGTCTGGCTAATTTTGTATTTTTAGTAGAGACAGGATTTCACCATGTTGGCCACGCTGGTCTCAAACCCCTGACTTCACGTTATCCACCCTCTTCAACATCCCAAAGTGCTGGGATTACAGGTGTGAGCCACTGTGCCCAGCGAGGTTAAGAGAAATGTTTTCCTTTTTCTTTTGAGATGAAGTTTCACTCTTGCCCAGGCTGGAGTATAATGGCATGATCTCTGCTCACCACAACCTCAGGCTCCCAGGTTAAGGCAATTCTCCAGCCTCAGCCTCTCAAGTAGCTGGGATTACAGGCATGCACCACCATGCCTGGCTAATTTTTTATTTTTAGTAGAGATGGGGTTTTTCCACATTGGTCAGGCTGGTCTCAAACTCCTGACCTCAGTCTGTCTTCCCGCCTTGGCCTCCCAAAGTGCTGGGATTACAGGTGTGAGCTACCGGACTCAGCGTTTCGAGACAAATTTTCAAAATCATTTAACTGTCAGCCAGACACAGTGGTACACACCTGTAATGCCAGCACTTTGGGGGGCCAAAATGGGAAGACTGCTTGAGGCCAATAGTTCAAGACCAGCCTGAGCAACACAGACAGACCCTGTCTCTACAAAAATAAAAATAAAAAAAATTAGCTGGGCATGATGGCACATACCTGCAGTCCCAGCTACTACGCTACTAATCAGGATCACCTGAGCCCAGAAGGTCAAGGCTGCAGTGAGCTATGATCATGCCACTGCACTCCAGCCTGGCCACAGAGCAAGACCCCGTCTCAAAAAAAAAAAAAAGGTAACTGTTCAGGAATTATGTTTACATATTATTTGTGTATTATTACCTATTTAAAAAAAAAAATATTTCTACAAAACAACACGGTGCCAAATTAATGTTGGTTACTGCATGTACATATCTGAAAATAAATGACCTTGTCACTTGTAAAACAGCCTATTAAGTCAGAAAGGGAATCACTCAAATTAGTTCTATACAATAAAACTATGTATTTACATGTACTCATCATTTAATGTCAGATTAAATATGTGTATATGGCCTCCCAAATTGCAGAGCCCAGTAAACAGATCAAGAAAAGAGATTATGACTTTTTCAATTCCTCACCTACTTCAGGACCTAATACGGGATTTTCAGGCAGCTGGCATTCAACAGATTTGGCTAATACAAATTAAAATCCAGTTTCAGAAGCTCTTTGGAGGAGTCCTATAGGGGGAGGTGAAAGAGAAAGGGTGGAATGCCCATGGATAGTTTGGCCTGGGGTTCCTGTACACACAATGACCACACATGATATGGTGGGTATGGTTAATTAGGAACTGAGGAGATATAAAGGAGGACAAAAGGAGCTCACAATCTGCTAAAATTGTAGGGCCTAACAGGAAAGCGATGTTACCAATGCAGTGATTCCCATGCTAGACTGGGCTTTTTAAAGATATTCTCCTACTCACTGATTCAGAAACTCTAGTGGTAGGACCCACTGTATTTCTGAAAACTTCCCCTAGTAATTCCAACCATCAGGCAGGTTTAACAACGATCATTGTGTGGCCAGGAGCAGTGGCTCATGCCTGTAATCCCAGCACTTTGGGAGGCTGAGGCGGGCAGATCACCTGATGTCAGGAGTTCAAGACCAGCCTGGCCAACATGGTGAAACCTAATCTCTACTGAAAAATACAAAAATCAGCCAGGTGTAGTGGCGGGCACCTGTAATCCCAGATACTCAGGAGGCTGAGGCAGGAGAATCAATTAAACTCAGGAGGTGGAAGTTGCAGTGAGCCGAGATTATGCCACTGCACTTCAGCCTGGGCAACAGAGACTCGTTTTGAAAAATTAAAAACAATCACTGTGTGGAAGGAATTATTACTTTTGATGAGTTGATGTAGGTTTGTCTAATTGTACCACTCAGAGCTGAGAAGCCCCAGACACATTACTCTAAATTTGGGGTAACAAAAATAATACCTAAATGAACTTATAGTAGGAATCAGGAGAAGGTGTAAAAACGTGAGTCATAAAACAAAAAAGCTCTGTGCACACCACACAGAGGCTACCCTCTCCTCCTCCTGGTCCCACTGATTCAAACCCATCCAGGCCTTCACTAAGTAGTGCTACTTGTGCTGGCTGCCTTGCAGACAAATCTCCTTTACCTATGTCCAAAGAAGAGTCAGAATGAGAAGTAGGGGACAAGATATTAGCCAAACTAGAATCAAACTCCAAGAAAGTCCCACATCAGAAAAGATAAACAACAGACATCCAAATGGTGGTGGCATTTTTAATATACACCAGGAGAAGGGATGGTAAATAACCAAGTCAATCATTACTAAAGCTCTGTGGCTTTCTGTATAGTACTTAAAACCTCTCACTTTGTTTCCCAATCTATAAAATGGGAATGGAAAACCTATCAAACTTACAGTGTTGTTTGGGTTTTAATGAGTCAGTCCATGACAAGTGCCTAGTACAGTGCCAGGTATACATACAAACGTCCAGTGAAAAGTAACTATCAATCCTGGAGAAATTAAAGTTCAAAGACACTCAGATCAGACACTTAACCAAGATTTGACAGTGCAACTTGCAGAGCTAGGTCTTCTGACTGAAAAGCTCCTCTTTTCTAGTCAGTACATAAGACTGACACAGAAGAATCAACCAAAGTCCTTGAAGGCAGAACCAAGCCATATTGTGGTGGGAGGGGAAACCATTGGGAGTTAAGTACAGGGCATTTGGGTTTGACGCTGAATACTAGCAGTCATCTCTGTATTCTGCTTTTGAGCCTTTCCTTGTTCTTTGAAGCCCCCAGTTCTTTCCATCTCTAAGTGTTTCCGTCAAGGATAGACTTAAGACTCACCCGAAAGAAAAGGAGACTGCTGATAACGCCCTAGGGACCTGATCTGGCATCACCTGCTTTGCTCTATTTGAAAAAGCCACCATTCCCTGGTGGTCTTCACTGCATCTGCTCGGTATACAGGATCCTTCTCATTCTAACCCACCCCGGTGGCAGTAAGTGCTTAGATAAGCAAACACAGTTCACCAGTGCTATCAGGGTCTTTGGTGGATGAAGAGATTTTCCTTTTCCCAGCTCCCCTTACTTCCTTTCCGCCCCCCACTAAACTCCCATCTTCTCTCTGTACTTCTCTCACCTTATACTCCTGCACCACCTCCTCCAATGGCACCACGCTGTGTTGTTTGTGGCTCCTGGATTCTCGGCACACCACACAGATGGCCTCTTCGTCTACCTCGCAGAAGAGCTTCAGAGCTTCTTGGTGTTTGGGACAGATGCCTTGATCGGTTACACGACTCCCTCGACCAGGGTTTGGGTGCATCTGCCGAATCACCTGGACCATATTGGCCAGTTGCAGGTTGGGGCGGAAGCTCCGCCGAGGAAAGCTCTTTCGGCATTGGGGGCATGTGAAGCACCTCCGAGGGGCGGGAGGTGGGGGTAGTGGGGTGACGGGGTCTAGCTCCTCTTCTTCATCCTCCTCCAGCACTTCCTCCTCGTCCTCCTCATCCTCCCCCCTCAGGTCTTCCTCCATGTCCCCCAAGTAGTAGTCCAGGTCTTCCTCCTCATCCTCCTCCTCCCACACGTAGTCCATATTGTCCCAGCTGGACCTGCCCATGCCACTGGTCCAAAACACACCCTCTTCTTCCTCCTCGACCTCCTCCTCCATGTCACCCTCGTAGTCTTCATCCCGCATGGGGGTATCCCACCCTGCACCAGCCCCCACAGCCTCCACTTCCTCTTCCTCTCCGTCTTCCTCCTCCTCCTCCCGATCTAACTCATCCCTGTCCTCCTCATCCTCCCCACCCCACAACTGGGTTACACACACTCGGCAGAAGTTGTGCCCGCAGCCGATGGACACGGGGTCCGTGAAGTAATCGAGGCAGATGGCGCACACCGCCTCCTCCTGAAGGGTCTGCACAGGGTTGGGTGTCATGGCAACGGCAGCCATCTTAGTGTCCAGCCAGCCAGTGTAGAGGTGCGGTGGGGGGCAGGGGGCGGGGGTCTTCCTCCACCGACGCCAGGGCGACCCGGCCCCACCCCCAGCCCTGCCCCTCCACACCTTGCTCCAAGAGCAGCCAGAGAGATGTCCTCCAGACAACCCACACCGCCGCACAGAGTTCCCTACTCCCGAACGACAACCGTGTCTCAGCGAGGGGAGGGGAGGGGAGGGATGGGGACCGAACTGGGCGCCACCTTCAAGTCCCTCAGGTGGCTCTGGGTGCAAATCTGTCCCAATGCTCCCTTGGACTCCTCATAAACCCCCGCCCCTCCTCACTTCCTGGCCCCGCCCCTAGCTTCCGGCCTCCTTCCAAACACTTCCGGCGTCGACACACCACCTAAGTTCGCGACTTTCCTCCGCTGTCGTGCTACTCCCCCTTTTTCCCCCTGGGGCCCCAGGACGACAGGAAACGGCGAGGAGACGCTCTAGCCCGCATTCGAGAACAGGGCGGGAGGGCTAGGACGGTGGAGGCCCACGTCTCTGTGGTGCGGGGCCAGGGCGAAAGCAGAGAGAACAGAGGAACCGCCTACCCCCATCCCCGGCCGCTGGGGAGAAACTTCTGGGGGAGGAGGGAGCGCTTGGTGGCCGTCTGCCTTCGGTGCTATGACAGCATCGGCCTGGCGCCATCCTACCCACCCGGCACAGTCGACTGCTGCCGGTACTCCCAACAACCGATGCCGGAAGCGAAGGGGTGGGTCCGCGGAGCGCTCTGACGTACTTCCGGCCCTTCTAGGCAGACGACTTTGTGGTGGAGGACTCAGAGGATCGTCCGGGTCTGACTTGGGGGCGGGGCCTGAGAAAGCGCGGCGAGGGTTGGGATGCAGTCGCCCCACCCTTCCAACTGTATTCTGCATTCCGCATCCACGGTAGAAATTGCAAACCCAACGCTGTCTCATGGTTTAGATGAATTTCCCTAACTGCCCAGCAATAAAGAAGTGGTGACGAATCATTACATCTACATTCTCACAGCATCTCTGCAAAAATAGATGCTTTGTGCAGTCGAAATAATATTTGTTGCTTAGATAGCTTTTTAAATTTTATTTTTTCGAGACAAAGTCATGCTCCGTCGCCCAGGCTGGAGTGCAGTGGCACGATCTCGGCTCACTGCAACCCCCGCCTCCCGGGTTCAAGCGATTTTTCTGCCTCAGCCTCCCAAGTAGCTGGTATTACAGGCACGTGCCACTGCGACCGATTACTTTTTGTACTCTAAGTAGAGATGGGGATTTCACCATTTTGGCCAGGCTGGTCTTGAACTTTGTACCTCGTGATCCGCCCACCTCGGCCTCCCAAAGTGCTGGGCTTACAGGCGTGAGCCACCGCGCCCGGACTTAAGTTTTTTTTATTTTTTTTAATTTTTTTATTTTTTAGACAGAGTTTCGCTCTTGTTACCCAGGTTAGAGTGCAATGGCGCGATCTCGACTCACCGCCAACCTCCGCCTCCTGGGTTGAGGCAATTCTCCTGCCTCAGCCTCCTGAGTAGCTGGGATTACAGGCACGCGCCACCATGCCCAACTAATTTTTTGTATTTTTAGTAGAGATGGGGTTTCATCATGTTGACCAGGATGGCCTGGATCTCTTGACCTCGTGATCCACCGCCTCGGCCTCCCAAAGTGCTGGGATTACAGGAGTGAGCCACCGCGCCTGGCCTAAGTTTTATTTTTATAGCGACTGTTGATGTCAGTAGTATATAAATAAATAAATAAATAAATAAATATTGGCCATGATTTATGTACAGAATCTCCAGTGAGTGTCGGACACGGTGTGACGCCAGGGCTGGGCCTGCAGAACTTACTCGGCTCTCAAGGCGGCTCGCGGGAAAACTCCAGATGGGTGTCGTGCTTCCTACGGGGGTGGTCCGGCCTCTGAGGATGTCAGATCAAACGTACCAAAACCACAAACCCTCGTGGGTGAACTATGCTAGGCCATGCCAGGAGCTGCGTACTCTGCTGCAGTAGAAAAGTACGGCCCCAGAACTGGGACACCACCGCTCAGCTGGCCGCGGCACGGGTCCCTGGTCCTGTCCTACAAGGGCGCGGTCCTCTCCCTCTCCCGGCCTTCGCAGTCACGTCTATCTTCAGGACAATGCCGTACGCTAACAGCTAAGGTGGTTTCTGTAGTGTAGTGGTTATCACGTTCGCCTCACATGTGAAAGGTCCCTGGTGCGAAACCGGGCGGAAACAGCTACCTTTTGGTCTGGTCAAGAGGACTCCTCTCCCGTTTGGCCTCACCTGGAAGGAAAGATATGTGTGTGTTCCGGCTTTTCGGAGGAAAAGGGACTGAAGCGAAACTGAGGGAAAGGCTTACTCATAGCGGGCCCTTAATAAATGCTCACAATCTATATTCAGGTCTTGCACTTCACCTAATCTCTTGCTTTTCCTTTCTGAAGCCCATGCAGCTACCACATGTAAAGGAATCAGTAGATTTCAGATCCTTGTCTCTGGTACCTAGAACAGAGCCAGGCTCGGGGGGCTTCTTAGTATTTGTATAGTGGAAACATACAAATACTGAAGGTAGCATCAGTCTTCCGAGAAAATGGAAGAACATCAACACACCTGCCTGGCTAGCTAAGTCAATAGAGCATGAGACTGTTAATCTCAGGGTCGTGGGTCTGAGCCCCACATTGGGTGGAGTGTGTTCTGGAAAGATTAGGGCAAGCTGTGTTACATAAATGCAGCAATGGACGGAGATCTAGTGGGCAGTAGATTCATCAACGGTGGGTGCTAGAGCTTAGGCTTACCCGGTGTGCTGAAGGCCTTGAGAAGAATTTTCACCGCCTTTGCACCCTTGCTAACTCTCGATGAGAGGTGGGTACCTGCGAACCAATTATTGCAGGCTGGCACCTTGACCTATGATGCATGCATGATGTTTTGCTGTAGTCCACTAACCCATGGGCAGCACATATTAGGCACTTTCCCTTTACCAGACCCAGAGAAAAGATTTTCTCTTTTCTCTGCCCTGTGCCGGAGACTTGATGTGGTTTAGGGAAACTAGGGTGAGACCACAGGACGACCTCCGGCATTGGTGAGTGTCAAAACCTATCTGATTCACTGCCACTTTATTAGGAGATTTAGCGGTTAGGATTCGGCGTTTGCCTCACTGTGACCTGCTTTTGACTCCCTATCACGAAAGGTGCTTTGTGTAATTTGAGACACTTGTCTTCAGTATATTCTCTTTTATGCTCTTGATTTTAAGAGTCTATTTTTGTGAGATATTGCCCCACACATACCAGCCTCCACGTTTTCCCCATACATAAAGAAAGGTAAAAACGTGCCATGGGCAGTGGCTCATGCCTGTGATCCCAATACCTTGGTAAGCCAAGACGAGAGGATCGCTTGAGCCCAGTGTGGCCTTGAACTCATGGGCAACATAATGAGACTTGAATCTATGCAAAGAAAAACTGTGTTGACCATTCCATAGTCCTGCAAATGTGGCCCGTTTTGTATTTTTAAGCTGTTGAAGTCTCTTCTGCATGCACACCACACCACAAGAGAAGTCTGTTGATCATAGGAAGCTAGCTTAGGCCGGGCGCGGTGGCTCACACCTGTAATCCCAGCACTTTAGGAGGCCAAGGCGGGTGGATCATGAGGTCAAGAGATCGAGACCATCCTGGTGAACATGGTGAAACCCCGTCTCTACCAAAAATACAAAAAATTAGCTGGGCACGGTGGCGCATGCCTGTAATCCCAGCTACTCAGGAGGCTGAGGCAGGAGAATTGCCTGAACCCAGGAGGTGGAGGTTGGCGGTGAGTCGAGATCGCGCCATTGCACTCCAGCCTGGGTAACAAGAGTGAAACTCCGTCTCAAAAAAAAAAAAAAAAGAAAGAAAGAAAGCTGGCTTAAACTCGCTGAGCAAAAGGTAGCATCGTCTTCTGTCTCAGACGTGTGTCAAAGGGGGGATTTAGGAGCGTTAAGTAGTCTGTGAGGGTGGTCTGGGCAGAAGCTGGTCAGAATTTGTAAATAGGTAGAGTCACTAGTACAATCCTAGCACTTAAGTTGCTGGGGCTGTGGTCTTGGAACATCAGGGAGGGTCTTAACAAGCTGGTGTTCAAAGAGTTTGAAGTTTGATATTTCATCTTGCACAAATGCTTTCGGATTCTTTTTCAGACTGTGGTTTCAGGGTTATTTCTTACCACCTTCACTGGGACTGGAAAACGTTCTTAAAGGATTCTAGCTTTTTAATTAAAGTGGAGATGAAGTGGACAAGCTTCTCTTCTTTATCCCCCAGCAAGCCAAGGGAACGTCCGGCTAGAGCTTTTTGCTCCAATTCCTGCTTTCTCTCCTCTTCACCCTTCCACCTATCTCTCCTCTGGCTAGGCCAGGTTTGAGATGCCCTGTCAGGCAAGTGACCCACGTTGCTCTGGGCACAAAGGCGGCAAGCGTTCAACAGGTAGAGAAGCATGATAAACACATGGAACCTTGTGGGATCTTTGGTCTCCCCCACTAAGGCCTGTGGTGATGGGGCTTGAGGAGATTGAGGCACCCACTCTGATTTATATTCCAGGAGGTTCCTTCAGGGATGATGCAAACAGGTAATATGAGGGGGAGTAAGACTGTCCGGGACAGGGGCTGGAAGGACATAGGCCTGGTCCACACAGGAGGCAGCCAGCGCGGGTGAGGCGGCAGCCACAGGAAGACGCAGCTGAAGGAGCGGATGCACGGTTTGCTGCGGAGATAGATGGGGTGGTTCCACAACCGAGATCACAGACTGAGGATGCGAGAGGGGAGGGGAGAAAAAAACAGTGACTTAGGTCTTGAACAGATTAGCCATGAGATGCTGCGAGACATCTAGAAAAACTGCCGAAGACACGCGTGGATATGAAGCTTGGGAGAACAGTTCTTGCTGGAACCAGAGACAGAGCTAAGGAGTGGGTCCTACTGCGAGCCGGCGTGACACTCCAAGGTCCGCCTGGGGCTCTCGGAGGCGGAGTCAGGATGGGAGAACAGCTTGCAGAGAAGCTTCTATTGGCCGAGGGCGCCCACAGTGCAAGGAAGGAGGTTGACAGCGTCCAGTTCGGCACACGGTCTCGTAAGAGAAGGTGTCCATGGATTGGGCCATCTGGAGGCCCGTGGTGACCTTGACCACAGAACCAGATTCACACCAGAAGGGCTCCCGCCCTGCTCTGGATGGAGAGGGGCTTCGGGGTCACAGAAGCAGCAAGGATCCCTGTTCAACAGGACTGCACCTCCCTTCCAAGCTCTCCAGGCATTTGGAAATTAGGCGTCGGCGGCGGAAAAACATTTTACAATATTAGGCAATCGCTACTACTTTTAAATTTGCATATATGCAAATCTCTATATGACCAGCGTTAGGCTTCGGTCCAACTCTGTACATACCTTGGATGCTAGGATTGGCGATTTTTATTTTTATTTTATTTTATTTTATTTTATCTTATTTTTGGAAACGGAGTCTTGCTCTGTGGGCTAGGCTGGAGTGCAGTGGCGCAATCTCGTCTCACCGTACCCTCAGCCTCCCGGGTTCAAGCGATTCTCCTGTCTCAGCCTACCGACTAGCTGGGACTACAGGCGCACGCCGCCACGACAGGCTAATCTTTTGTATTTTAGTAGAGACGGAGTTACCGTTTAGTTCACCGTGTTGCCCAGACTGGTCTCGGACTCCTGAGCTCAGGCAATCCGCCCACCTCACCTCCCAAAGTGCTGGGATTATAGGCATGAGCCACCGTGCCTGGCTGGCAAGTTTTAATTTTATTAAAATACCTAAAATTTTTCATTGAACTTTTAAAATGCAATAAAAATTTCAGATTTATCTTCAACAACTGACTTAAAACTGATACTCATTAATGTATATTTGCCCTTTATTGTAATAATTATGCATAATTCATAGAAAGAAAAGGACAAAATAATTTCATTTTTAAAATTTTATTTATTTATTTTTTGAGACAGAGTGTCACTCTGTCACCAGGGGCCAGGTTGGAAAGCAGTGGTGCGATTTCCGCTTACTGCAACCTCTGCCTCCCGGGTTCAAGCAATTCTCCCTCGTAGCTGGGACTACAGGCCCGCACCACCACGCCCAGCTAATTTTTGCATTTTAGTGGAGACGGGGTTTCACTATGTTGGCCAAGATGGTCTCGATTTCTTGACCTAGTGATCCACCCACCTCGGCCTCCCGAAGTACTGGGATTACAGGCGTGAGCCACCGGGCCCAGCCTCATTTTTTGATTTTTACATTTACTATAATTTACATTTTAACAAAATATATTTAAATATCATGTTCTTTGAATGCATATTGCATTTTTAAATCCTGTCATTACTGTCTGTAAAGCACAAATCATGTGAAAATTAAAACCTCTGGCTGTCTTCCCTGGAAGAAAAGGAACCAATGTGGAAGCGTATCTGACGGCACATTTGCCTTTCCTCCTGTGATACTAGTTTTTTGTTTTGTTTGGTTTTGGTTTAACTGCCGGACGTGACTAGGGTACTCTTAGAGGTAACGCTTTACAGTTTGACAAACACCACAACTCAGGGCCACAAGAAGGCTGGTGTTCCGGGGAAGAATGGGTCTAAGAGCCCTGACTCAATTAGCTTATACTTAGATGCTGACAGTAAGACTTATAAAAATAATAGCACTCACTATCAGCATCTGTTTCTGTAGTGTAGTGGTTAGCACGTTTGCCTGACATACAAGGGTTCCCGGTTGGAAGCTGAGTGGAAACATAGAAGTCGTGTTTTCCTTCAAGCTCAAAAAGTTTTTTTCCTATTTTTCTAATTTCATTTATTTATTTACTATTTCATCTATTTCGTTTTTTGAGACGGAGTCTCGCTCTGTCGCCAGGCTGGAGTGAAGTGGCGCTGCAACCTCGGACTCCCAGGTTCAAGCAATTCTGCCTCATCCTACGGAGTAGCATACAGGAGCCCACCACCGTGCCCAACTTTTTTTTTTTTTTTAGTAGAGACAGGGTTTCACCATTTTGGTCATGTTGGTCTTCAACTCCTGATCTCGTGATCCACCCGCCTTGGCCTCCCAAAGTGCTGGGAGTACAGGCGTGAGCCACCACACCCAGCTTCAAAAAGGTTTTTTTTTTACTACAGATTCTATATGTATAAATGTTCACAAATTTTTATACTACACTTACAGACCAGCCAGATTCTTTTTCCTTTTTTTTTTGAGATAAAGTCTCGCTCTATCGCCAGGCTGGAGTGAGTACAGCTGCACGATCTCGGCTCACTGCAACCTCCGCCTCCCGAGTTCAAGCGATTCTCCTGCCTCAGCCACCCGAGTGGCTGAGACTACAGGTACGAGCCACCACGCCAAGCTAATTTTTGTATTTTTAGTAGAGACGGGGTTTCACCATGTTAGCCAGGATGATCTCCATCTCTTGACCTTGTGATCCGCCCGCCTTGGCTTCCCAAAGTGCTGGGATTAACCGGTGTGAGCCACCACTTCCAGACCAGCCAGATTTTTTAATCCATTGCCGATCAACTTCAACCGGTGTATTCCACGTCTACGTTTGGAATATTAGGGTGAGAAGTAAGTGGTCTTGCTGGTCATTATTAGGGCCTGCCTGCAAAGTCCCGGCGAATCAAATACAGCCAGCCACCGGGGTATGCTACGGAATGACAGATGAACGATTAAAACGTGCAAGAAGGCTCGGGTTGGAAATGCTTGGTCCAAGGTGTGCACCGGAAGGTCAATAGTGACGGCGATAACTACAACGTCCACCACACAGCAAGTTGTCTGCAGGTGTGGCCCTGGGCTTCCCTCAGAGGAACCTAACCATTCTGGGAAGGTTGTTTACAGATGAGGCCACAGGCATGGACAGATCACACGAAGCGATGGAACGTGTGAGATGGAGCTAAAGGACACGGAATGGAAAATAAACGGCACAGAGAAATTCAACTGAAATACAGGCGGAAAACTCGCGCAGGCTCGGACGGAGGACTGCTGGTGACTGCGTGAAAAGCGGAGTTCCAGTAAGTTTTAAGACAAAACCGAGTGGTGCAGACACCCACGCCTTGCGGCACTGCGCGGCGCTGCGCGGCGCTACGGGAGAGTATTGGCTCTCATCCCACTGCAGTGAGTGCGAGCGAGGCTGAGACTTTCCACCCCGTTGACTTCTCGCGCCTGCCCCCACCTCTTCTCCGCGGGACCGCCCCAGCGCCTCGCATCCATGTTGTCCGCTCCGGTTCCCGGCGTGTGTCCCCAGTGCAGGCCCGCCGGGAGTGGAGCGTGCCTCCCAGTGCAGGCCCGCCTGCAGCCCTGACAAGGCTTTTGTGTCCGTGGTGGCTGTGGAGGGCAGTCCCCAGTGGGCCTCTTCAGCGATTCCAGGGAAAAGGCAGCAAAGGCTTCAGGGAAGCAGCCGCGGCGGTTGTCGGGATCCCGAGTACAGCGCTCCTGGCCAGAGAGAAGCCTGGGTAAACCCACGTGCTGTGCGGCCCCTGCAGCACAGGCTGCTTCCCCGTGTGGAAAATGGGCTTCCACCTTTCTCACATCGCACCGGCACACTTGTGCGCGTGGCAGGGGACCAGCCACCTCTTTCCCAGAGTCCTCTGCTCAACTTGAAAGTCAAATAAATGCCACATCTAAGTGGCAAAGCAAGGGTCGGGTCTGTTAGCACGCTCTCATAGCCCCAGTTACTCGGAAACTGGGCCTAGGAGTTCGAGACCAGCCAAGCCAACATAGTGAGACTGCCCCCTCAACCCCCGCCCTGGCCCCATCTCTAGGGGGAAAAAATATTTTTAGTTAGCTAGGCACAGTGGTGCATATCTGTAGTTCCAGCTACTACCCTACGTCAAGGCTGCAGTGAGCTAAGATGGTGCCACTGCACTCCAGCCTGGGCACAGAGCCTGTAAAACAAAAACAGAAAAGGAAAGAAAAGTGGCAAAAACCAAAATTCTCTTTAACGTTTCATACATCTTAAATGCAGACAAAGCATAATAAAAGCAGAGTCCCGCGATGGCAAAACTTGTTGGGATAGCGTTAGCATAAAGTTCACAGAAAACATCAATGTCATGCCCATATCTTTATTACTGCTCTTTCACACTTAATGGTATACAGTCCCAGAATTTATGGATCAGAAAGTCCGGTAGCCAGCCCGGAACTTACAGACCCTATGCAGGAGAATTCTCCTGGAGTTCCCCTGCTGGCCCAACTTCTTCCTCCTCATCCCTTCTTCGCCGAGCCCCCCCTCGCATTCCCTCCATCATGTTTAACTGGTTTGAAGTGAGTCTGTACTTTGGTGCCTTCTGCACCCCTTCAAGCTGACCTCCTTGACTACCAGGATTCTGGGAGGCCAGGACCATCACTCAGTCCTTTGTCACTCTTCTATAAGTGTATTTTGCTCTGTGTCTCAGCCAACATAAAACAGTTCTCATTGGTCTTCCTTGTGGAGACAGTGAAGCAGATTCAAAGCAACATAATCAACATCAGCCAACTAGCCGTGCCGGGCAACAAGATGTACAGGAAACAATCTGTTTGAAGTCATATTTCGAATTACACTTTTAAAAATATTTAGAAACGGGCTGGGTGCAGTGGCTCATGCTTGTGATCCCAGTACTTTGGGAGGCTAAGGTGGGTGGATCACCTGAGGTCAGGAATTCATGACCAGCCTGACCGATATGGTGAAACACCATCTCTACTAAAACTACAAAAATAGCTGGGCATGGTGGTGCATACCTGTAATCCCAGCTACTTGGGAGGCTGAGGCATGAGAATCGCTTGAACCTGGAGGTGGAGGTTGTAGTGTATTTTATTATTTTTTTTGAGATAGAGTTTTGGGAGGATCCTTCGGGAGGACTCTGAGACCACACACCCCTCCATGTCTCTAAATATATATTTTATATATATATTTATAAAACATAATGTATATTTATAACTATTTATAAAAATATGATATGTATGTATTATATAAATAATAAATATATCATATATTCATATTATATATACTACATATATTTTAGAGACATGGAGTGGGTGGTGGCCTCAAAGGATCCTCCTGGAGGCCTCCCAAAGTTGATGGGGTTACAGGTCTCAGTCACTGTGGCTGGCCTTAGGTTACACAATGCCAACTTGTCATCATGTCTTTACAGCTTTCCTTAACTCATCTTGTTTCAGTTAACTGGAACTCAGTGCTATTACTCTCTTTTTGATGCTTGAATTGCAGCTGCTTGCTGGTGATGTCCCTTTACCATGGCCCTTTGTCCTTTCACCATTGTCCTGACAATTTGAAACCACCCATTTCCAAATTCTGCTTTGGCCTGTCCGTAATTTCTCTACCCTATGATGCAGAATATTCAGGAAGTTTGAGGTTTTTTTTTTTTTCCTTCAGTGAAGAGTAAAAGAAAAGAGCCACTCTGAGTGCCAGGACAGTGCATGGAGCCAAAGCACCTGGCTCCCTCACTTGCAGGTACCCTAGAAAAATAGTTTGAAGGAGGCGATTCACATTGAAGGTTCTATTTACTTGCAGCTGGAGTGCAAGGGCACTATCTCAGCTCACCTCAACCTCTGCCTCCTGTGTTCAAGCAATTCTTCTCCCTCAGCCTCCAGAGTAGCTGGGATTACAGGCATGTACCACCATGCCCCGATAATTTTGCAGTTTTAGTAGAGATGGGGTTTCTCTACTAAAAACAAAATTTTGTAATTTTTGTTTTGCCATGTTGGTCAGGCTGGTCTTGAACTCCCGACCTTAGGTGATTCACCCACCTCGGCCTCCCAAAGTGCTGGGATTACAGGTGTGAGCCACCATGCCCAGCCTGCTTTTTTTTTTTTTTTTTTCCAAATAAACCCCAACATCATTTCCCTACCAAATTATCTACTTAGATTTTTAACCTCTCACTCAAAAGTAATTATAGGCCAGTCATGGTGGCTCTCACCTGTAATCCCAGCAGTTTGGGAGGCCGAGGTGAGTGGATTGCTTGAGCCCAGGAGTTTAAGAGCAGCGTGGGCAACATGGCAAAACAAAAATTACAAAATTATTTTTTCTCTTTTTTTCTATATTAAAATAGAAAATACATAATATTTTCTACAAAAATTAGCCAGGCATAGTGGCACATGCCTGTAATTCCAGCTACTCAGGAGTCTCAGGTGGAAGGATGACCTGGGCTCAGGAGGTGGAGATTGCAGTGAGCCAAGATAGCGCCATTGTACTCCAGCCTGGGTGACAGAGTATGACCTTGCCTCAAAATTTAGAGAGAATGGTGTAATGAAACTCCAAATATGCATCTCCCAGCTTCAACAGCTCTCACTCTCCCACCATTCCTGTTTTATACCTGTCTTCATCCATCTCAAACCCACTGCTCTTTTCTTTCTAATCCTTCCAGATCTCCTGGATGGTCCCTCTATAGTCACATCACTAACTCTCCCTTTCATTGTGACTGTTCTGATACTCTATAACCCTTTGAGGATTAGGGAATCATACTAACAGCTACAAATCTCGTAAATTAAGCCCTTAGTAGGGACTAGGCACTGTCCTTCTCTTTCTTTTCTTTTTCTTTCTTTTTTCTTTTATGAATCTAGAGTCTCCCTGTGTTGCTAGGACCGACCTTGAATTCTTGGGCTCAAGCAATCCAATCCTTCTGCCTCAGTTCTCCTGGGGTTACAGGCACACACCACCATTCTAGGCATTGTCCTATGTGCTGGGCATGCATTGATTCATTGCATCCTCACAAAGCAACCTGTGGTGTGCCTTGTTAAAATGACATTTCATTTATTCATTCATTTATATTACAGTAAAAAGGATAGATCAGGTCCCTGCCCTCCTGAAGTTCACTTTCTGACGGGCGATTTAAATAACAAACAACGGGCAGATGCAAAAACCACCTCAGAAAGTGATAGGGACTGTGACAAAATTAATGAGGGCAATCTGGTAGAGTGGCAGGTAAACAGAAGATGGCACTATAGAGATGGGCCAGGAAAGAGACAGCAGAACAGGTGACACTGAGTTGAGCCAGGAAAAGAGAAAGGCAACCTTTTAAAGATCTCAGAGAAGAGGCTTTTGGGAGAGGAAGTGGAGGAAGATCAAAGACCCTGAAGCAGGAGTGAGATTGATGTGTTCAAGAGGGAAGACTTTGGTTGTGGGGAGGTAAGGAGCCACAGTTAGACTTCCTTAAATATGCATTCTCATGACTCCATCCACACCATTTGCTGTTTTTGTTTTGCAAACAGATTGAAAAATTAGTGGAAGACATTGTATCTGCCATCTTATGGAACCCCCAGGCTAGTGAGGCACACAGTAGGGTCTCAGTGCAGGACTGTGAAAGACAGATAGATGAGTGCATAGTTTTATTCAGAAGATTTCAAATAAACAATACTCCCAGGATTTCTAAAAGTGCTATGGGTTAGTGGTTAAAGCAGGGAATCTGTAACAGCAAAGGAAGTTCGGATACCAGCTCTCTACTGCCAGCTGTGACCTAATCCCTCATTCTTCTGCCTCCTTGTCCATGCAATGAGGGTTCATAAATATAAAATTCATAATTATAATTTGAAACATATAAGAGAATATTACCAGTCTTAGCCATTCAGAATGCTTCTGTTTGATAGCCTTAGTTACTGAAGGAACCAGCGAAAGGGATTGTTCAAAAATCGATAGCTTTATAGAAAAAATAACAATATTTATAAGCTGAACTTAAAGCCTTCAGAAAAACTAGGACTTAACATTCACTACTCTAATAAACTGAATTTTAATCACAAAGCAAGCATGTATTCTTTTTTATATTCAAAAGCGTCCCCCCCTCACCCTTAGATATTAAACATCTCAAATGACAGTGATAAGCATGGACATTTCCCAGAATATCCTATGGCTGTACTCCAGTTGGTCCCAACACAGAATGGGACCTTTCTGGGTCAACTGGGCCATTCTGGGTCAACTTTTTGGCCACTCTTCCTTTTGCGGGCAGTCCTCCAGAATTAGATTGCTGTAGAACACCAGCATGTGACTGAGGCCTGCCTTTTACCTGAGGGACTTACACCTTTAATCCAATGTGATATGATAGAAACAGCAATGAAACAGTGGGGTGAGCATTTGATGGCAGGTGAGCCATCTCACCTGATGCTACCACAGAGATCCTAGAAGAAACATTTCCTCAAATTTAGTACAGAGAACCAGTGATTGGTAAAGAGACAGTGGAGTATTTTTAAACTGGTTAGAGTAGATAACAGCCATGAATATATTAAACCTGAAGACAATTTTCTGTTTGAAATGAGGTTTTTAAATAAAAACATTCAGAAATTGTTGATTAATAATTTACATATAAATTATATGAAATATTTTTGTAGCCCACTTCACAAAACATATCTGTGCTCTAATAATTTATACATGTTCCATATGACACCAAGGCCAAATGGAAAATGATCTATACATTTTATTTATTTCTTTTTTGAGACAAAATCTTGCTCTTGTCTCTCAGACTGGAGTGCAATGTCTCAATCTCGGCTCATTGCAGCTCACTGTGGCTCACTGCAACCTCTGCCTCCCTAGTTGAAGCAATTATCTGCTTCAATCTCCTGAGTAGCTGAGATTACAGGCAACTACCACCACATCCAGCTAATTTTTAGTCAAGATGGGGTTTCACCATGTTGGCCAGGCTGGTCTCGAACTTCTGACCTCAGGTGATCCACTCACCTCTGCCTCCCACAATGCCGGAATTACAGGCGTGAGCCACAGCATCTGGCCATACATTTTATTTCTTATGTCTGGTTGGATTCTTCCTGTCTAAGGAAGAAGATGTGCAGAGTAAGAAACAACTGAGCCATCCTTTCTAATGGTGTCCTGGCTTTGCAAGTGAAGAGAACATGATAGCCTCTTCAGAATCAGCGCTGAAAAGAGAAAAAACAGTGCTGTCATATAGAATTGGATTAAGAACTGTAAACAAAAGTTACACTGTACTCTGCAAAATCTTTTATCTGAGTACATTCCTGTGTGATGTAAAGCAGTGCGGGAGGGTCCTTCTCCCTATCAGGTGGCATCCCATAGGCCCTCCAAGGGGTATGTCCTGTAGGCAGCCAGTGAGGGACTCCAGCAACTTTAAATTGGGGAGTCACACATTTAATTTTGTCAAGGCAGCCCATTTTCCCCAAAACTGTGGAGAAACAGACAATCTCATTCATGGCTAGTGGAAGGTAATATCAAACGGTAGATTCTACAGTGGGGTGATGTACCTTTTTTCAAAATTACTTGCATGTAAACCTGCATGCGACAAATCTCACTTCTGGGAATTACCTCCACAGATAAAGTGCAAAAGTGCAAAATGACAATTGCTACATGCTTAACTGTAGCACTGATTGTAACAACAAAAAAAATTGGAAACAATATGAATGCCCATCCATAAGTGATCTCTTAAATAAAAGATGGTTCATCTACAGTGGAATATGGTGCAGCAGTAAAAAAAGATTGAAGACATTTTCTGTATCTTGAAATAGGAAGATCTTCAAAATATAACAATAATAAAACACAAAATTTTGTATAAAATACAGAAAAATAAAACTATGCTTGTACCAGCCAGGCATAGTGGCTCAAGCCTGTAATCTCAGCACTTTGGGAGGCTGAGGCAGGCGATCACTTAAGACCAGGAGTTCAAGACCAGCCTGACCAACAGGGTGCAACCTGGTTTCTACTAAAAACAGAAAAAATTAGCTGGGCATGGTGGCGCATGCCTGTCGTTCCAGCTACTCATGAGGCTGAGGCAGGAGAATCGCTTAAACATGGAGGGCAGAGGTTGTAGTTACCTGAGATTTCATCACTGCACTCCAACCAGGGCAACAGACTCTGTCAAAAAACAAAATAAACAAAAAGGCCAGGTGCAGGGGCACATGCCTGAAATCCCAACATTCTGGGAATCTGAGGCGGGTGGATCACCTGAGTTCAGGAGTTCGAGACCAGCCTGACCAATATGGTGAAACCCTTTCTCTACTAAAAATAGAAAAATTAGCCGCATGGTGGTGGGCGCCTGTAGTCTCAGCTACTGGGGAGGCTGAGGCAGGAGAATCACTTGAAAGCTGATTTTGTTGCGCAGCCTCTGTTGAAAATGGTGTGACACTTCTTCAAAAACTTAAACATACAAATGCCATATGACCAGTAATTTCACTTAGTGATGCATACTCAGAAAAAGAAAAAAAGAAAGAAAGAAAGAAAGAGGGAGAGAGAGAGAAAGAGAAAGAGAGAGAGAGAGAGAAAGAGAAAGAAAGAAAAGCAGCGGGCCGCGGTGGTTCACGCCTGTAATCCCAGCACTTTGGGAGGCCGAGGCGGGCAGATCACGAGGTCAAGAGATCGAGACCATCCTGGCCAACATGGTGAAACCCCGTCTCTACTAAAAAATACAAAAATTAGCTAGGTGTGGTGGTGCGCACCTGTAGTCCCAGCTGCTTGGGAGGCTGAGGCAGGAGAATTGCTTGAACTCCAGCGGCGGAGGTTGCAGTGAGGTGAGGTGGAGCCACTGCCCTCCAGCCTGGTGCCTGGCGACAAAGCAAGACTCTCTTTAAAAAAAAAGGAAGGAACCAAGTGTCCATTGGCAGATGAACTGATAATGTGGTATATATACATGCAATGGAGTGCTAATCAGCTTTAAAAGGAAGGAAATTTTGACACATGCTACAATATGGATGAATCTTGAAGACATTAAGTGAAATAAGACAGTTAAAAAATATTGCATGATTCATCTTATATGAGGTACCTAGAGAAAACAAATTCATAGAGACAGAAGGTAGAATGGTGGTTGCCAGGGCCTGTGGGCAGAGGGGAATGAGGAGTTAGTGTTGAATGGGTTTAGAATTTCAGCTTGGCAACATGAAAAAGGACTGGAGATGAATGCACAACGATGTGAATGTATTTAATGCTACAGAACTACACAGTTAAAAGGTGGTAAATTTTGTTGGGCATATTTTATCACAGTTTTTAAAACCCTAATTGTGTCACTAGATACACATCAGACAATGAACAGTTGAGCGCCCACAGGAGTATTGTACACACGGAAGCAGAAGACTTCAGAACAGATTATTTTCCTAAGAGTTGTTCAGCCAAATATATTTTTAGGTATAGCCAATAATCGCAGATTTAGGAGTAAAATAACCAGTTACGCCCAACGTGGGGCTCGAACCCACGACCCTGAGATTAAGAGTCTCATGCTCTACCGACTGAGCTAGCCGGGCACCTGATAATCGCCTCCAACAACTTTTTATTCTAGATAAGATTTGGCCTATATTCAACTACAGGTTTGAATTTGGATTTATTTGGAGTGTGATAAAACTACGAAAGTGTCTCGACTTCCGGGAAATTCAAACTCTGTCATCCGTTCAAACCTGACTGTCCCTCCCACTTATGTCTGTTTTCTGCTTCTACCCTACCAGCGACCAAGCCATTTTCTACCCGAGATGAAGCTCACGGCACGGAGATGGAAAAACAAGTACATCCTGACGCCACTAGAGTTCTCACCGTGTGGATTTTTAAACAGGAGGGAAGGACAATGAGTGGGGCCCAGAGGATGTCAGGGGCCGCCGCGGTCTTTCTTCACTCAGCAGACTCCAACCTCTGGGGCTTTTCCTGGCGCTCTGCAAAGGTGCTAGATTTCAAAATTTGAAAGGAAAATCGAAAACAGATATTGAAGGTGCAAAACTTTGCTGGAGATGCCGGGGATCGAACCCGGGGCCTCATACATGCAAAGCATGCGCTCTACCACTGAGCTACATCCCCACCCACACTGCAGATCCCTCCTGGATCATCCCTATTCGTTGCTTAGCTCAAGGCACCGGGAGTGGATGGCAACCAGTGTGAGCTGGATCTCAGCTGCTGCGAAAACCTGTTCCAGGGTCCTCTGCTGACTCCAGCGGATCTTGACCAAGGGATTCCAAGAGAGAGGAATTAGGCCCGGCTAAGCACCTGAGAGCAGCGGTGGAAAAAGGAGAGAAAATCATCAAGCAGGATGTAAAAAATGAACTGTGACCTGAACAAGAGAAGAGGTCCAGGCAGTAAAATACGGAATATTTGATTAACGTAATCCAGAATTGTAAAGTTTATTGCTCGGGAAGAAGAAAGAACTGGGACACAGGGGATGGGCCTACTTTTCACCGTGAACTGTGGCTCATCTTTGGAATTTTGAACCACGTTTAATTCAAGGAAACTTTACTGAGCTTGCCAAGAACTGCTCTAAAAACCGGATTCAGCTGTGAACAAACCTGGTACAGTCCCCCTTAAAGCTGACATTCCAGAGGAGATAGAGTGCAGGCACAGAGCCAGCCCTGAGTGGGGAGCGCGCTAAGAGGCGACTTTACACAGTGTTGTGCGTTCGGGGCGGGCTTCCTGGGCACAGTCGTTTGAAATAAGACCTGAATGAGGTGGGAGGGAGGATGAGGTGCAAGCGGCGGGAGAAAAGAGGTCCATGCAAGGGGAACAGCCAGCGCAGAGGCCACGCGGTTCAGGAACAGCAGGAAAGAAGGTCGGGGACACAGGGTCCTGGAAGGCGCTGAGTAGCGACCTCGGGAAGGAGGTAGCATCCAGGAGCAGATGAGATGTGGCGAGGCCTTTGGGTTAGAATCGCGGAAGTTCCAGGTGACATTGACAAGGGCGGTTTCTGAGGAGGGTGCAGGGGGAAAGCCTGACTCGAGTGGCCTCCAGAGTGAACCAGGAGAGAGGGCGTGGAAGTGAATAACACCCGCAGCTCTGCAGTGGGGCTGTGGAGACAGCTGGGGAACTGAGAGCGCTGTTGTTTGTTTCTTTGGGGTGGGGGGAATAATATTGAATAAAATTATAAATGTATTATTTGTCCAAATATTAAGAAGGGGGAGGACAGTCGCAGAAAAGGTAATGGAGTGGATACAAGGCCACGCTTGAGGGTGAGACAGGGCCAGGTTCCAGACTCTAAATTTAGCTCAGCACAGGGCCTGGGCGAACCTGCGCTAGGGGAACCTGACACCTTGGCTCGGGCGCCAGGCCCTTGCCACGGCGATGCTGCATCGGCCTTGGTCAGGAACAGGGAGTGGCGCCCGGCAGGGTTTGTGCGCACACCTGTCGCGGTCTGTTTCCCACGGCTGACTGGGTCAGGCTGGGGCGGCCTAGAGAGACTGAGGGACCGGGGCAACGGGAAGAGGCGGGGGCCGGTGGACCGCGCAGATGGGGGCTCAGGGCGCTGTCCGGCACTTAAATGGCCCTGTGCCTCCCTGCCCGCAGTCAACTTGGGCCTCGCCTCCCGGCTCTCCGCCCGGCGCGCCCTGGGCTCAAGTCTCTGCCTGTCAAGTAGCAACCCCGCCCTTCCTCTCCCAGTGGGCACTCGGCGGCCAGCCCGGACGTCGCGCTCCGACCCGCGTCCTGTGAGGTCCAGTGGCCGCCCGAGCGCGACCAGACCTAGGTGAGCTGAGAGCGCACATGGCTGCAGTGGGGCCGCGGACTGGCCCCGGTACCGGGGCCGAGGCTCTAGCACTGGCGGCAGAGCTGCAGGGCGAAGCGACGTGCTCTATTTGCCTAGAGCTCTTTCGCGAACCGGTGTCCGTCGAGTGCGGCCACAGTTTCTGCCGCGCCTGCATAGGGCGCTGCTGGGAGAGCCCGGGCGCCGGGGCTGTAGGGGCCGCGACCCTTGCGCCGCCATTTCCACTGCCCTGCCCTCAGTGCCGCGAGCCCGCGCGCCCCAGTCAGCTGCGGCCCAACCGGCAGCTGGCAGCAGTGGCCACGCTGCTGCGGCGCTTTAGCCTGCCCGCGGCCGCCCCGGGGGAGCACGGGTCCCAGACGGCAGCGGCTGCCCGGTGCGGGCAGCATGGCGAACCGCTCAAGCTCTACTGCCAGGACGACGGACGCGCCATCTGCGTGGTGTGCGACCGCGCCCGTGAGCACCGGGAACACGCCGTGCTACCGCTGGACGAGGCGGTGCAGGAGGCCAAGGTGAGCGCAGGCCCCACTTTCCCCTTCGGGTCCCCGGCTCCCTTGCCCGCGGTGCAGAGAACCGACTGGTAGTCAGGAGGCCTGGGTGAGCCCCTCCCTTCTTTCGCCTATTCCAGGAAGCCCCGGACTGGTTCCTGGGCTGAGCGCGGTTCTCTGTCACCCCTAACATCACCAATACCCCACCCCACCACCACTGCGTTTCCCTCTGAGCTAGACACTGGGCCACCTGCGAGACGCCCCCCACGGACTTGGCGATGTTCTTCCTGTGTGTTTGGAGCCTCTAGCCCGCAGCCTTCAGCCCGCGGGAAGTCTCCAGCACAGCCATGCAGCCGCTGCCCCGAATCTTATCCTTTTTCCCTGAAGCGAGCTCTGCTCAAAGTTCTCACCTCGTGGAAATGATTTGGAGGACCTCTCCAAGAGGTCCAGGGATGGGGCTCCTGGGTTAAGCAGCGCACCTAGAGCCGTCTGACTGTGCCAAGGCTGTCAATTCTGGGCGCCCTTCCTCTGCTATTTTCTCGCCGAGCCCGCGCGAGGATGTACGCAGGGGTGGGGGCGGGGTGGGGAGGCTTGGGTGGCAGTTCCCAGTCTCTCCTTGCTCACCTATCCTGCTCCAACTCTCCCACCCAGAGGGCTTCCAGATGGTGGGGCGGATAGCAGAGGAGACGACTAGAGGTAGGGCTGCTGGAGGATTGTGTTTCAGTCTGGCTGGTCCAGCAGATGCTCTTGGGGAAGCAAGATCCCGAGGCCTTCAGAGTCACCTCGAAGTGTGGCCTGCAGCCTGTAGAGATGACTTCTACCCGGCCTCTCCCTCAGTGAGCAGGGGCTTCCCCTTCTCCTGGCTGGCTCCAGGAAGGCACAGGTGGGGGTTTCCAGAATCCCCCCACCTTCCCACACCTTACATCCCTTCACCTGCAGGAGCTCTTGGAGTCCAGGCTGAGGGTGTTGAAGAAGGAACTGGAGGACTATGAGGTGTTCCGGTCCACGGAAAAGAAGGAGAGCAAGGAGCTCCTGGTGAGCCAGGCACCCTGTGGGGGACAACGGAGGCCCACTCAGCATTAGGACTTGGTGTCCGGTGTTAGAGTATGTGCTATGGAACCACAGAGTGGATTTCACAAAGATAATAGAGTGTATATTATATAGGATGACCATATAATTATTGTACAAACCAGAGCTTTTGAGAGTGAAAGGGAGTGCTAAAATAATTATTGCAAAACTACTGGCCTAAACTGGAACTGTCCTAGTGAATCAGAATGTACAGTCACTCTGATATTACATAACATACCAGTTAAGGCCTCTGGAAGCATCTTGTAGTAGAACACATTAATCTTTCTGAAGAGGAACATGAATATTCAGTAAGCGGGAATATTAATACAATAAAGAGCCTCAGATCAGTTCATGGCATGTTTTGTCAACAAGACAGTAGTGAAAAAATTTTCATTTTCAGAGATTTTGATTTGAAATTGAGGCTAAGGGAGAAACGGCTATAGGGTGTCAGAGCTGCTCCCTGGCTCTGGTAGAAGGAGGAAGTCTGGGGTCTTGGGTTCACAGTAGCCCCTGATGCACAGCTCAGGGTCTGTACTGGCACTCCTCCACCCGAAGTTGGAAGATATTTTATCTTTCTTAGAATAGAACAGGAAAGTGAAATGGGGCTCATTTTGGTGAAGATAGACAAACATGAATCACCAATGGTCATTTTCTACCTTGCAAATTCAGTTCCTAGTTCAGTAAATAGATGTTGAAAGAATGAATGGATCTACTAGGGCCTGTCAAGGCAGGGAATTGGAGGAAGATGAACTAGAGGACCCTCCTATCCTCAATGTCAGGAGGGATAGGGGAGACGCCTGGAGTTCAAACACCCTAAGATCAGTTCCATTCCCTCAACTACATCTGTTACGCCTGCGTCCAGTGTTCATCCCAGACCTTCCCATTCGATCACTTACTTCCCTCCATGAACTCACCCTCTAGACCTTCATCCCTCTTCCGCTGGAGATATAGTCCCAACACAGCTCTTCTGTCATTGGTTGACATCCATGAACCAGAGGGCCTTCGCAGGCATTGGTGGCAGTGGAGGTCTCTGATCTAACTCCCCAGGCCTTGCTTCACACCTTCCAACTCTGTCCTCTCCCAACATTCACCCATCCACCCCCACATTCATTTTTATTGTTTTGTTTTGCTTTGCTTTTAGAAGGGTCTCACTTTATCACTATGGCTAAAGTAGTTCAAGTGATTCCCCCCATTTCAGCCTCCTGAGTAGCTGGGACTACAGGTGTGCACCACTACACCTGGCTAATTTTTTATTTAGTTTTTGTAGAGTTGTGGTAGGGGGTGGTCTCCTATGTTGCCTAGGCTGGTCTGGAACTTGTGGACTCAAGCAATCCCCCTCCTCAGATTTCATCCCTCTCAGTCTCCCAAAATGCTGAGATTACAGGAGACTACATAAAGAATGAGTTCACCCATTCTTCACAGTTATAAAATACTTCTATGATTTACAATACTTGTGTCATTTACAATACCCTGCTTAATGAAACATCAGAGGTAGAGTCCAACTATCGCTGCAACATAAAAGGGAGAAGGAATATTCTTATTTGAAAATACTCCTACCCCAGGGGACATCTGGCAAAGTCTGGAGATTTTATATTTTTGGTTGTCAACAATGGGATAGGGATGCTATTGGCATTTGGTGGTAGAGGCCAGAAGGGCTGCTAAACATCCTGCAAGGCACAGGACAGCCTCCCATGACCAAGAAGTATCTGGCCCAAAGTGTCAACCGAGTTAAGGTGGGGAAACCCTGGTTTAGACTAGTATTTTGGCAAATACTGTTTCACTTATGTTATTTCTTTGCAAGGCAATATGATATAGCTGCCAGAAGCTCAGGCTCTGGGGTCTGGCTCCCTGGCCTAGAAGCCTGGCTTAACACTTTCTGGTGATGTGTCTGTCTTTGTCTTCTTACCTGTAAGACTCGAGGGGAAGTGTGCCCACCTCACTGGGCTGCTGTCAGGGCTGAGGGAGTTAATACCTATAAGGTGCTCAGGGCTACTGCAGCCTGCCTGGAAGCTGAAGGCAAGGTGAGGGCACTGTGGGACACCTGAACCCAGGTCTCCCAACTTCCTGGAATTCCCTTCCTCCACCCAGGAGTTTTCAAGGAAGAAGAACTTCCTGGTGGGACATACTGAGTACCACAAATGTGTTCACATAAAAAAATCAAGAGGTCAGGGAATGAGTCTGCATCTGAAAACTAAGGAGTAAAAAATCCCATATATGCCGTTAATGGAAAGAATAGAATATCCAGCTTGCACGTAGCATATTCTCACTTAGTTCCTTGGGGGTATGCTGCTACCTCTGGTCACTGGCATTGGATTTTTCTTCCTCCTTTCTACTTTCCTACATCTCCCAGGGTTTGTATTTTGAGCATTTGTTACCATTATAATTACTAAACAGGAAAGATCACCTTTAAAAAGAAGTAAAGTGAAGAGTGAAAGTTTGAGGGTGATAAAGTAAATGTGCTTGAGGAAGAAAAAGCAATCTCGGTTTAATCCTATGGTTGCCCCAGGAGGCACTAATTTATCCCTTCTGCCCCGTTTTGTTTTTTTTGAGACGGAGTCTTGCACTGCCTCCTGGGTTGGAGTTCAATGGCATGATCTCGGATCATTGCGACCTCCACCTCCTGCATTCAAGTGATTCTCCTGCCTCAGCCTCTTGAGTAGCTGGGATTACAGGCATGTGCCACCAGGCCCAGCTAATTTTGTATGTTTAGTAGAGATGGGGTTTTGCCATGTTGGTCAGGCTGGTCTCGAACTCCCGAACTCCGGTGATCCTCCAGCCTTGGCCTCTCAAAGTGCTGGGATTACTGGTGTAAGCCATCACACCTGGCCTCCCTTCTACTTTTCAAGTAAGGAATCTGCAGGTTGGCATAGTTGTAGGTAGAGTATGATGCTGCCTTGGTTTAGGTGGTGGAGCCCAGGTCCACAGGCATGTGCAGGCACATCTGTGGCAGGGGAGAGAAAAGCACATGCTGAGACTATAGCTTGTTTGGAGCTGGGACATTGAAAATAAAGCATGCACTATGCATAGATGGTGTGTCTCTGATCCCCCAGTAGTGACAGGGATGAAGCTTTGCCCCGTGAGATGACTCAGGTCCCTGGTCAAATGTTATATCTCCATGCCCAAGTCCCCTACCTCTCCAACTTCTCTTCCTGGGACAGAAGCAGATGGCAGCAGAGCAGGAGAAGGTGGGGGCAGAGTTCCAGGCACTGAGGGCCTTCCTAGTGGAGCAGGAGGGCCGGCTGCTGGGCCGCCTGGAGGAACTGTCCCAGGAGGTGACACAGAAGCAGAATGAGAACCTGGCCCAGCTCGGGAGTGAGATCACCCAGCTGTCCAAGCTCAGCAGCCAGATCCAGGAGACAGCTCAAAAGCCTGATCTTGATTTTCTCCAGGTGAGTCTTGCTAAGCGAGGAGCTTGAGTCATTTATCCTAAGGTATCAGGACCCACAGCTAGAGAACAGTGTCAGTCCTGAGGGTTAGGAGAATCACATGATCTGGAGCTGAAGGGGGACTGGCAAGAAGTCCCCTGATTTTCCTGGGTTTGGAGATCTAGAGAGATATGATAAAACTTTCTTGACTATGAGCCACAATGTATATCATATTTCCGAATCATATGCTCGAGACAAAAGTCTCAGAAAATAATACTCACCTTTGCTACATGTATACACTTTGCTGTTTTCTATTCTATTTCACTAAAAAGCAAAATAGTTATAAACCACTAGACAAACTTCACAAACTACAGATGGGTTAAGAACAGTCATTACTGGGCCGAGTGAGCAATTGGTGCATAAGGGCTGTGACCTCCCTCAGGTGGTTTTCAGGATATAGGCAGCACTGGGTCCATGGGATATCTCCACTGATGATTCTGTAATAAAGAAAGCAGCCAGGCATAGTGGCTTATCCCTCTAATTCCAGCACTTTGTGAGGCTGAGGCAGGAGGATTGTTTGAGGCCATGAGTTTGAGACCAACCTGGACAACATATCAAGACCCCGTCTCTACAGAAAATTTAAAAATTAGGAGCCTGTAGTCCCAGTTACATGAGAGGTTGAGGCAGGAAGATTGGTTGAGCCCAGGATTTTGAGGCTGCAGTGAGCCATGATCATGCCACTGCACTCCAGCCTGGATGATAGAGTGAGATCCTGTCTCTAAAAAACAGAAAACCGGCTGGCGCGGTGGCTCACACCTGTAATCCCAGCACTTTGGGAGGCCAAGGTGGGCAGATCACAAGTTTAGGAGATCAAGACCATTCTGGCCAACATGGTGAAACCCCGTTTCTACTAAAAATACAAAAATTAGCTGAACATGGTGGCTCACACCTGTAGTCCCAGCTACTTGGGAGGCTGAGGCAGGAGAATCACTTGAACCTGGGAGGTAGAGGTTGCAGTGAGCTGAAATCACACCATTGCACTCCAGCCTGGGTGACAGAGGGAGACTCTGCCTCAAAACCAAAAAAAAAAAAAAAAAAAAAAGATAGAAAGCATGTGAAGAGCTGTGGCAAAGGGTGAGGGGTTCACTGTGTGGATGAGACACCCTGCAGCCAGTAGCCACTGGAAGCTGCTGTCGACTGGAGTCCACGCAGCCACTGAGGTGTGGCACACCTACTTATTGCTTACATCTTGGAGGCACAGCAAGGGACAAGCTTTGTTTCCCAAAGACGAATGGAGTTTACCTGATGCTGATTTGGTTTCCTCTATCTTTCCTTCCAGGAATTCAAAAGCACGCTGAGCAGGTGAGTGACCTCACAGCTCCTGGGGCCTAAGTTGCCTCTTCCGTTTTCACTGAGCCTTCTCTTTTTTCCCCACCCCCTGAGTTCTCACCTCCTGATCCCCCCACCTGCTTGCCCAGGGACCTTCCAAGACAAATGTTTGCCTGCCTGGCCATGGGTTTTTCTGAATGAGGTCTGGCTCTTCCTTTTCTACCTCTTTTTGCCAAGAAGACCTTGCCATCCCAATTTTCATAGCCTGTGGGAGCAAAACGGTGCACATGGGCCCTCCTCAGAGCCCCTGTCCTGCAGGTGCAGCAATGTGCCTGGCCCCAAGCCAACCACAGTCTCTTCTGAGATGAAGAATAAAGTCTGGAATGTTTCCCTCAAGACCTTTGTCTTAAAAGGGCTGCTGAAGAAGTTCAAAGGTAGGGGCCTGGGTACTGAGCGGGGCCACATAGTGTGGTAGAGGCTCAGGGGTCCCTGGGTGTGCTTTCCAGAAGCTGTGTGTTGAAATAGAAGATGGCTGTGCCATGGCTAGATTGGTGTAGGTGCTGTGGCGGCAAATCCAGTCAGGCCCCCTCCTCAGGCCACACAGCTTCCCATGGAGACAGACGGGTAAAAGGGTGCTGCTAGGGGTACTGGGGGTAGGAAGACGGCTGTGTGGGGAAAGCTCAGCTCAGAGCCACTCAGGTAGAGCTAGAATGCTTGGGCATTGGCCCCCCGCCCCTCAGCCCCCGTGCTTGGCCCTGTGCCTGCACATTCATTCTTGGCCTCAGGAGTCTCAGGAATGAGTGAGTCAGTTGGGCTATAAAGAGCTGGTGACCTTGCCATAGAATCTCCCATGTTGCTCATGCAACCCTGTTTTGTTTCTCCTCCTCAGAGGACCTTCGGGGAGAGCTGGAGAAAGAGGAGAAAGGTAGGGATGGTGCTATGATGGCAAGTATGGACTGTTTGCCACATGGAGAACCTACTCCCTGCTGGTGACCATCTCAGGGTTTTGCATATGGTCGGTTCCTTCCACCAACCCAACTCGGCAACCCTGTCCCTCTGTCCCCTACCCCTCCCTGTCCTTGCCTGGGAACTCTGACACACTCAGATGGCAGTGGGGCCTGTTGGCCCAAATGCTGCAGGCCGGTTAGGAGCAGGAATGCTCCATACCTCGAGACATTCAGACTGAGGAAGGCAGCTCGGCCACTTGGTCAAGCCGCTCCCCAGTCCCCACTCCAAGAGAGATGGAACCTCTCCTAGAGATGGGGTGTATACAGAGGACCAGAAAAGCAACGGAAGGCTGAAGGCTGGAAGGAATATGGTTCTTACTCTTGCAGAGCTCCAGAGTATTTGGGATCCAGCATTCAGGGGAGCGGAGTGGAGGGCACATATTCCTGTGCTGATGTCTGAGCTAAGTCAGAATGTGTCTGGGTGACACCTAAAGCACCTGAGTGAGACCAGGCCCTCCTCTACTCAGAGCCCTGCCGCAGCCCCTCTAACTTAGTACAGGTCAAAGCCCTCATGGTGGCCTCAAGGCCCTAAGGGATCGGGCCTCACTACACACCCCTGCTACTCCATGCAGCTACACATCCTGCTTGCTGCTCCTTAAGTGTACCAAGCACACACCCATCTCGGGGCCTTGGCACTGCAAGGCTCCCCGGCCTCAGCTCCTTACCTGGAACATGCTTTCCCCAGCCAGTCACATGGCTTGCTTCCTCACCTTCTTTTTTGTTTTTGTTTTTGAGATGGAGTGTCACTCTGTTGCCAGGCTGGAGTGCAGTGGCACAATCTTGGCTCACTGCAACCTGACTCCCTGGTTCAAGCGATTCTCCTGCCTCAGCCTCCCAAATAGCTGGGATTATAGGCATATGCCACCATGCCCAGCTAATTTTTGTATTTTTAGTAGAGATGGGATTTCACCATGTTGGCCAGGATGGTTTTGATCTCCTGACCTTGTAATCCTCTTGCCTGGGTCTCCCAAAGTGCTGAGATTACAGGTGTGAGCCACCGCGTTCGGCCTTCCTCACCTTCTTTATATCTGTCTGCTCGATGCCCCTTTTCAGTGAGGGTCTTCCCTGGCCACTCTGGTTGAAATTACAGCCTGTTCTTCTGGTCCCTCATATCTGCTATGTTTATCATCTATCCTCAATCCTTTTCCTTCAGGAAGGAAGCTGGAGGCAGGCAGAACTACTCTGATACTCTGTGGTATCCCCAGGGCCTGGAAGGTAGTAGTGCTCACAATAAGCGTACATATTTTCACTTTTTTTTGGAGACAAAGTATTGCTTTGTTGCTGAGGGTGGAGTGCAGTAGAACTGCAGCCTCAACCTCCGAAGCTCAAGCAATCCTCTCTCCTCAGCCCCCTTGAGCAGCTGGGACTACAGGAGCACACCACCATGCTTGCTAAATTTTCTATTTTTTGTGGAAATGGGGTCTCACTATATTGCTTAGGCTGGTCTCCAACACCTGGGCTCAAGCTGTATTCCCACCTCTGCTTCCCAAAGTGCTGGGATTACAGGCATGAGCCTCTGCACCTGGCCTTAACTTTTTATCATGGAAAATTTCAAACATACTCAAAAGTAGAGAGAAGAGCATAAAGAATGTTACATACCCATCTCTCACCTTCAGCAGTGGTCAATTAGTGGCCATAGCTTCCATAGACACTGCTATCCACTTCTCATGGGATTCTTTTATTTTCTGAGACAGAGTCTTGCTCTAGAGTGAGATCCTGGAGTGCAGTGGCCTGATCTCTGCTCACTGCAACCTCTGCCTCCTGGGTTTAAATGACCCTCATGCCTCAGCCTCTCAAACAGCTGGAATTACAGGCACAGGACACCATGCTGGGCTAATTTTTGTATTTTTAGTAGAGAAAATACAAAACAAGGTTTCCGCCATGTTGGCCAAGCTTGTCCCAAACTCCTGATCTCAAGTGATCAAGCAGCCTCAGTCTCCCGAAGTGCTGGTATTGCAGCCATGAGCCACCTCATCTAGCTTCCGCTGTATAATAATAATAATTTATTTTTTTTTTTGAGATAGTCTTGCTTTGTCGCCAGGCTGGAGTGCAGTGGCACAATCTCAGCTCACTGCAACCTCTGCCTCCCGGGTTCAAGCGATTTTCCTGTCTCAGCCTCCTGAGTAGCTGGGACAACAGGCATGTGCCACCATGCCCAGCTAATTTTTGTAATTTTAGTAGAGACAGTGTTTCACCAGGTTGGCCAGGTTGGTCTTGATCTCCTGACATTGTGCTCTGCCTGCCTCAGCCTCCCACAGTGCTGGGATTACAGGCGTGAGCCACCATGCCCAGCCTATTATTATTTTTATTTTTAAGACAGGAGTCTTGCTCTGTCGCCCAGGCTGGAGTGCAGCCTGGGCTGCTCACCGCAATCTCCACCTTCTGGGTTTAAGCGGTTTTCCTGCCTTAGCCTCCAGAGTAGCTGGGACTACAGGTACATGTCATCACACCCAGCTAACTTTTATATTTTTAGTAGAGACAGGGTTTTGCCATTTTGGCCAGGCAGGTCTCGAACTCCTGACCTTAGGTGTTCCGCCCCCTTGGCTTCCCAAAACACTGGGATTACAGGCACGAGTCAAGGTGCCTGGCCCCACTGTATTAAAGCACATCAGAGACAACATACTATTGCCATAAATATTTCAGTCTCTAAAGAAACAGATTTTGTAAAACATAACCATAAAGCAGTCATCATACCTGGAGAGATTGATTCTTTCCAATGTCTAGCATTCAGATTTGTTTGAATTGGGGTTCAAATCAGGCTCATACATTCCATTTGTTTGATTTCATTAAGTACTTGTTGAGTGGTGCGGGAGGAGGGAAGCAAAATAGCTGGGAGGCAGAGAGTGGGGGTTGGTTGGGCCTTGGCGCTGGATGCTGGGAGGATTCTCGAGGGAATGGCAGGCAGGTTGCAAAGCAGGGATGGGCGCGGCCCTGCAAAGACTGTGCCAAGCCTTCATGTGGACATTTCTCCCTGTCTCTGCCTGCAGTGGAGCTCACCTTGGATCCCGACACGGCCAACCCGCGCCTCATCCTCTCTCTGGATCTTAAGAGTGTGCGTCTAGGCGAGCGGGCCCAGGACCTGCCCAACCATCCCCGCCGCTTCGACACCAACACCCGCGTCCTGGCGTCCTGCGGCTTCTCCTCAGGCCGGCATCACTGGGAGGTGGAGGTGGGCTCTAAGGACGGCTGGGCTTTCGGCGTGGCCAGGGAGAGCGTGCGCCGAAAGGGCCTCACGCCCTTCACTCCCGAGGAGGGCGTCTGGGCCCTGCAGCTCAACGGCGGCCAGTACTGGGCCGTGACCAGCCCCAAGAGGTCGCCCCTCAGCTGCGGGCACCTGTCCCGTGTGCGGGTGGCCCTGGACCTGGAGGTGGGAGCCGTGTCTTTCTACGCCGTGGAGGACATGCGCCACCTCTACACCTTCCGCGTCAACTTCCAGGAGCGCGTGTTCCCGCTTTTCTCTGTCTGCTCCACAGGCACCTACTTGCGAATCTGGCCTTGAGGGGCACTGCTGGGGAGCTCCTGTCTCTCGGCTGCCGGTGGGAAGGGATATCGCCTCCCCAGAGCTCCCTGGTCCATCTTGGGTCTGCCCTCCCTGCTCCAGACCCTGGTTGCTATAGACACAACCCTGAGGCAGGAGACTGTGACTACGGCCAACTGAGCAGGGGAAGAGAGACTTTGGACGCGTGGGTGTTCCTTTCCTGAGGTCACATGTGGATTTGGCCAGAGCCCTCAGGAGGTGGAGGCCGGTGAGGTCAGGAGCCCAGCTCTCCAAAGGGCTTCTGTCCTGACTGGAAAGCGAGTGACTCTCTAAAAAAATGTCAAAGCCAGTCCTGCTGTTTCCTGTTGCCAGGGTACAGGTCTGGGCACCGGCCAGCCAGGTTTGTTATTATGGCTGCCGCTTTCTGGATAGCTGCCAGCTCTACCTTGAGAGGTTGTGGGACCTCTGGATCCAGCTGGCCTGACAGGTCATCTACTCAGGGAGGAGCCCTGTGTCCCCAGCTCAGAGGACAGTCTAGGCCAGAACTGGAAGGAGGTCCTTGGACCGTCTGTGAGAGAGAAGCCCAGGACAACAGCCAATGGGTATCACAGCTCTCCAGCACTCTTAGCCGGAAGATACAGAGTGATTGGTGCGCCCTGACCAAAGCAACAATCAGCATGTGCTCTCCACAAACACCTGACTCCCCACTTGCCAGTGCCAAAGTATAAACACTTCTGGGATAAGGAGATCAAAGCTTCTGAAACTTTATTTTTTCTTTCAATTTTTTATTTTGTGACAGGGTCTCACTCTATCACCAGGATGGAATGCAGTGACAAGATCTCAGCTCACTGCAACCTTCCGCCTCACGGGTTCAAGTGATTCTCCTGCCTCAGCCTCCTGAGTAGTTGGGATTACAGGTTCCTGTCACCCCGCCCACCTAATTTTTGTATTTTTAGTAGAGATGGGATTTCACCATGTTGGCTATAATGGTCTTGATCTCTTCACCTCGTGATCTGCCTTCCTCGGCCTCCCAAAATGCTGGGATTAAAGGCATGAACCACTGTATCCAGCCTCTTTTTAACTGTGTTTTTTGAGACTGGGTCTTGCGATGTTTCCCAGGCTGGTCTTGAACTCCTGGCCTCAAGTGATCTTCCAGTCTCCATCTCCTTAAGGGCTGGGATTACAGGTGTGAGCCACTGTACCCGAACTGTTTTTTGTTGTTTTTGCTTCTGGAACTCTGAAACACAAAACACAACACGGTACTTACAATTTTAAAGATGCAGCCAGTTCTGAACAACGCACAAAGAACACGAACATGATCCTGACAGACTCTTTCAGGAAACTGCCAACAGCAGAGCACCCTGGTGTCAAGACCTTCTCAGCCTATGCCCTGGAGGGGATTCCACTGGCCAGCCTCAGCCCTTGTCTACTTGTTCTCCAGCTTCTGGATAGCTGGGCTTCTGGAAGGGTGGCAGTGGGCTGCTCCCTGCTAAGTGCTCCCCTGGGAAGGGGGTGGGGAGATGAAAATGAAGACTATGAGCTGTCTTTATAGTTGGCTTGGCTCATTTTCTACTCCCTAGATCTGAGTGCAAGAGCATAAGTTTGAGCCAGGGTTTCTGCCAGAGTGAATAAGTATGCATGTTTATATGTAGGAGAAGTGTGTGTTTATTTATATCTCACCTTTCGTGTGTGTGTGTGTGTGTGTGTGTGTGTGTGTATTTTGGAGAGAGCATTTATGAGCATGGCATAAGGTTCAAGTATTGCAAACAGACCCAAGTCAGTTTGGTCATATTCTGTTGTTGATTTGTTTTTAAATATTAACCTCCTTCTATTTAGGCAAGGGCCACAGGCTTCTTTCCTCACTACCTGGCTACCAGACTGGATGAACAGAATACCAGGCTCAGATCTAATTCTGTTCACACAGGTTATTTAGACAGATGTGCTGGCAAGCAGGGACAATGACAGTTGAATTGCCCTGTGTCATGGAGCTTCAGTGCTCTGTCTCTGAGATGCTTCAAGCTCACTTTGCATATAGGGTTCTCGAGGGGCAGGCATGACACTATCCCAAAGGCAGGACCAGTTGACACAGCACCAGATAATCAGAATGCTGTATCCTCTGGCTGAGGACAGGACCGATTAAAAGTCCTGGCTACAGAAGCATTCCAGAGAGTAAATCCTATGTCCTGCTTATACATGCAGGGCAGCTCTAAAACCTGGTAGCCAATTCTGGCATTTGAATACCTCTGATTTCCATAAGGAAAACCAATCTCTAATACTCATTTCCTAACTAAATCACCTATTGTTACAGTTAAGCCCTAATGTTATCTGGCTTGCATGGCTTTTTGATTAAGTATCATAATTCCCTTTGTACCGTCCAATAAATGTGCTGGGCATCAGAACGCATTACAGGTCCCAGAAGGTGCAATGTCTGGTGGAGGCACCACATAAGGGTCAGGTCTAGGGACTGGGAGTAGCTGTCCACATGTGTATTTTCAGTTTTTGTGTTCATGAGTGTAATCGTGTGTCTATCAGAGTGTGTGTTTGCAGAATAACTACATATGTATCTATATATCTGAAGAAATGTAAACAACAGTTACTGTAACAATTGCATGTAGAAAGGAAGAGATGTTCTTTCTTGGTCACCAGGGCACTGCAGTAACTTGGATGTCAGGATGCTGGTGTGAGGACATGTGTATGCATATCCCTCTCCTATACTCTGGGCGTCATAAACTCAAGACATCTCTGGGTCTGTGAGAACAACTGGCCTAACTTGGGCCCTTCTTATCCACCCATTAGTCCCAGCTGCTGAGCCATAAGCCCAGGTCTCTGCCATCAGAACCTCACCAGGCCCCTCAGCATCCAGACTCGGGGGAATCTAGGGGCCTGCCTCTGGCCTGGCTGCCCAGTGATCTAAGTCAGCCGGCTGTGCAGGGAGCATAGGGCAGGCTGGGCCACCAGGCCAAGGTCCACTTTCTATACCCACCAATTTCTGTGCTTTGCCAGGCTGGGCCCTCATCCTTTTCCCTTTCCTCTACCCCGTGGCCCTTTAGGGACCCTGACAGAACAGTTCCTTCACTGTGCCCTAAAAGCTGCCTTTTCCAAATTCATTCAAATGTGAGGCAGGGACTAGCACCCACCTGCAACCCTACCGAGACCCTTCTGTCCCAGCGTCTCCAAACACCTAGCCGTCTCGATTCCCCGCTTCCCCACACCCCCTCGGCATCCACCTCCAGAGGCCCCCACAGCTCCCCTACTACCAGCTTGCTCCAGGTCGAGCCCTAACTGCTCGGACCTGGACTCTCTGCATGCGTGCTCACACCCTTCCCTTACTTTTCCATAGCCCTGACCTCTGGCCCAGTATCCTCATGCACAGCAAGCTGCAAAGCGTGCTCTCCAATCCGCGCGCCCCTCCCCACCCCCCCGCCACGCCCAAGGCCGAGGACGCTTCTCACCGCACTGAGCTCCGCCGGGACCGGACAGCTCCTGCCCGCGCCCACACCCTAGCCCAACGTCAGCCCTGTCTTCGCGGAGCTTTCTCCGGGAACTAACGCCGGGGGAGGAGCTTGGGTCCAGCCGCCACCAAACTCGGCCGGGGTTCGGCGGACTGCGGCTGCGCGACGCCGGCGATAGAGTCAATTACTTATGCGCGAAAACACGATCCCCAGTTGGCTCCATAGCTCAGGGGTTAGAGCACTGGTCTTGTAAACCAGGGGTCGCGAGTTCAATTCTCGCTGGGGCCTACTTCTACTTTTCCTCTTTTATTTCTTGAAAAATAGTGGAAGATACGCGAAACTACTTCCGCCTTCCTGGGAGGCCAAACCGTGGCGGAGTCACTTTCTGTTTACCTCAAGGTACCCGCCACGGAAGGCTGCTTTCCTACCATTTTCTTATCTCTTGAAAAGTCAGACCCACTGCGGGCTTCCTTTTTTATCACGGGTTCACGGAGCCCCGCGCGCCCTCTCTCCGAGACCCCGCTCACTTCTGTGTGCGCGCGCTCTCCGGGAGCGTCTTTTCCTTCCCCTCAGTTCTTCCCCCTCCTGCCAGGGACTCGCCTTTGTGTCTCTGTCCCTCTCTGCAGGGGGAGACGATGGCACTACCGCGCCCCTTCCCGCCCGGAGTTTGTTTGCAGCTTCCTCCCAGCGCGCGCTGAGCGTGGGGTCTACAGCTCTGTGTTTGGCGGCTGCGCGCCTTCGGCCTTCGGGTCCCCGCCGCCTCTGTGTTGCAAGCTCTGACTTCTTTTTGTGGAGTTAACACAGAAAAGCGCAGACTGCCGCATTCGTGACCCGGGCCTAACGGATCTCCCTGTCAAGATTCGCTTTCAGCCTTTAGAAAAAAATTATTATTTATTTATTTAAACATCTCTATTTCTGCCTTAATTTTTTCAATTTCCATGTAGTTGTGCAGTTTTAGAAAAAATTTATTATAAAAAAGCCTGTAATCCCAGCTACTCAGGAGGCTGAGGCAGGACAATTGCCTGAACCCAGGAGGCGGAGGTTGTGGTGAGCTGAGATCGCGCCATTGCAATCCAGCCTGGTGAACAAGAGCGAAACTCCATCTCAAAAAAAAAACAAATATATATATATATATATATATATAACTAATGAATGCTGGTCTTCTGACTGATTTATTCCTGCTGTTAACGGAAGTGTAGAAAGTGAGCCCGAGTCCTCAGTGAACAGTGGGGGCGCTGCCCAGGTGCAGGAAGGGACCCCTGGGGGTCTCGGGACGGCTCCTGCCTCGGTCTTCCCCGGAAGGCGCACTCTGGAGGCCTGAGAACAGGCGGAGGCTGAGGCGGAGCCGGGGCCGGGTCCCGCCGCACATTCCCCTGTCGCAGGCGCCCTCTCCAGCGGAAGGGGACCTTAAAAAGCCCTGAGTGAGTCCCCGTCCCACGTGGGGCCGCGGCTTATACAGGCACCACTCCAGGGTAGCTCAGGGTTCGAAAACTTCCCTGTTCGGTGCACCAAAGAAGAGAAAACCGCTCGCAGCCACCTAGGTAGAGACCGGAGCTGGGACTGCGTTGACTGGGCGGGGAGGAGAGCGAGCGGGATCTGCCGGCCAGGAGGACGCGCTTCCTCTCTCACCCACGCCCGCTTCGGTCCAAAGAGCGGAGACTGTGGGTCACTACCGGGATGGATTCACTCCGCGCAGTTCAGGAGCCAGCCAGCACATTCCGGCGCTCGCGCGCCTGGGGCTGCTCAGAAACTCGTCGATCCCACAAAGACTGCCCCACAGGAAGATCACCGTACTTTAGAAGTCAGGCCACGGGGACCAGTAGTGAGCTACCCGAGAGCTTAACTGTAGATACCCTCCGAACGAAAACCGTGGACTCCCAGGGTGCGTGCGTGTGCTTGTGTGTGGGGGTGTTAGCGGCAGTCCCCACAATAATCGAACAAACAGTTGGGCGAACCTCAGGCCTCGCACTCTGGGGCTTTCAAAGTTTGGGCGTCACAGACGCTCCCATACACTCACTGGTCACCTGGCCGAATTAGGTGGCATATAGGTGAGGTGCCGGGAGGTCTTCCACGCTCGCGCTCCTGTCCAGGTGGAGCTGGTGGAGGCGTGGGTGCGAGGCTTGGGACAAGGGAGAGCTCTCCCGGGTGGGGCGGACCCAGGGGCATTTCATCTGAAATGTTCACCATGGGAAGAGCCGGAGGCCAGCCACAGCATTCAGGAGAGTCCAGCGTGGAGAGGCAGAGAAGAGGGGCGAGGGCAGCGGCGGGCGCAAGCAGAGCAAGATCGCCGAGAGAGCGAATGGAAAAATGAGCATTGTTTCTTCGGAGTAGCTTAACCACCATCCCACGCTGTTTTACAGCAGTGCAGGAAATGTGTCTTTTAGTGACACAAAAATAAACCTGTGGCTGAGCTCTGAGTAGATTATCGCGAATTTTAAAGCAGGGAATCCGAATCATTATTTTTACTACTAAATAAACCTGTGTAATTAAAGCGCCCTGGGCGAGAGTAGGTCCGAGGCGAAGGAAGAGGAAGGCGCCCGCCCAGGTGGAGACCCAGGCTTTGCCCATGGCTGGAGGCGGCCCGGGGTCAATCCCGAGAGAACGCGGTTAGGGCCGTGAGCCAGGACCCCGGCTCCTGCAACACGGGAGCGCGCGTGCATGGGTCCCAGCCTAGGAGCTCTGCAACAACCCAGTGGCCCGAGTCACCAAGAGAAGACAGAGTTCCGGGTTATCGATCGTTTCTGCCTTACACTTCCCTACATTTCCTGAACATTTTGCAAATGGGTATGTGCTGCTTATTATCTTTTCATAAAACGATAAAGAGCCCCCACCCCTGGTTTCACTTCGCTTCTCGCGGCTACTGACCCAGCCGGTCCGGCATTCTCTCCCAGCACTGTGCTCTCTCCCGAGCTCTCCAGCTCTGCCAGTCTCTGCATCCTGCCCCTGGGCCTCAAGATTTGCGCCTTTCTTGGACTCCCTTGGGAAGGGGCGCCCAGCCTGAAGAACGGATGGATGCCCCTGCTGCTGCTGGAGTGGACCGAGGGTAGGGAGGCGCTCATTCGGATTCCGGGAGACCAGAGGAGGCAGGGCTTTACGGAGCATTTACCCTGCGTCGAGCTACCGGCGGCTGAGGATTAGTGGCAGACACGGAGATGAGCAGCGAGGTCAGGCTGGGCTTGGACTGGAGATGTTGAGAATTTTAAGCTGCCAGAAAAAAATCCGCCCTTCGGTGAACTGACTCAGGAAGAACACAATCATGGAAAGATTCTATAGTTCGTTTGCGAGCCGGCTCGTTGGTCTAGGGGTATGATTCTCGCTTTGGGTGCGAGAGGTCCCGGGTTCAAATCCCGGACGAGCCCACTTTTTTTTCATTTCAACTAAATTTCTTGTTCAAATCCCTGACAAGCCTGCTTATTTCATTTCAACTAAATTTCTTGTTCAAATCCCTGACAAGCCTGCTTTTTTCATTTCAACTAAATTTCTTGTTCAAATCCTTGACAAGCCTGCTTTTTTCATTTCAACTAAATTTTGTTTTACCTTGACAGTTTTGCCCCCCAACAGTGTCTAGTGGTGACATCACCAAGATTTCTGGGAATGCTGGGGATTGGAAAGAATCGTGAATAAGAGACTACGCAAGCTGCCCCAGAACCAAGAGTTGCTGTTAAGAATTTGGGCATAGACCCGTACGCAGGTGTATGCTCTTGAGGGTTGTGGGGCTCTCCTTTCACAGCTAGAGAACACTTGTCTAACATTATGACAAGGTGGCAAGTTATGGGTTTCTGTGGCATAGCGGCTATTACTTTTACCTAACATGCAAAGGACCCTGGTTTGAAACCGGAGGGAAACAGCTCAGAGTGGGTTTTATCTCATCACACACTCTTATTACACTGGGAACTTAACCTAGAACACCCCACTATCATGCCCACTGGGTTGCAGAGGCACTAAGAGAAGAGGGCATCTACACTTTTGCTTTCCAGCCTCAACCACCCGTACTTCTGAAGAACTCAACCCACCTTCACTTGCTGTGGACAAACTCATCACAGAGCCCATCCACTCGACAGCTGCATGCTGCCAAATGGAACCTCAGATCCTGAGTAAGTGGGAGGCCCATTACTCCTTTTGTAACTTACAGGGGAGAAAAGTGACAAAACTGCAGCAAGTTGGCAGCGATGGGATTCAATCCCATGCCCCTGAAGAGACTGGAGCCTTAATCCAGCACCTTACCCCGCTTGGCCAGGCTACCTCACCACAATGATACATTTACATATTTTCCTTCAGTATAAAGTGTCCCAAGGGGCTCTGGGCCAACAGGACGTTGGGGTGAATCCACAGGGAAGAACCAAGGCGGGATCCGCTCCACCAAAGCCCCTGGCTGGGAAATGGCTCCATCGGCGACCTCACACACAGGATTGTCAAAGCGCAGGCCTCAGGATCTGCTTTGGGAAGGCCACTCAAGAAGCCACTGCTGGCCCCCTTTGGGGAATGGGCTCCAGAACAGGGGAAGACTTCTACACTCTCACTTCAAAAAATCAAAAACAAATACAAAGAAAAATAAAAACCTAAAGAAAAACAAGCAAAAAACCCCCAGCGTAGATAACATGGCGAAACTCCATCTCTATGAAAGAGATAAACATTAGCCAGGTGTGATGGTGTGTGCCCGTAGTCCCAGCTACTCAGGAGGCTGAGCCTGGGAGGTCTTGGCTGCAGTGAACGGAGATCACCCCACTGCACTGAGCCTAGGTGACAAAGCAAGATCCTGTACCAAAACCAACCAAACAACAAAACAAACAGAAACCCAACAACAACAAAACAGACCACAAATTGGGAGTATGTATTGATTTTATGAATCATGAGGAGAAACATTCTTAGCAGCTTTGTTCATAATAACTCACATCTGGAAACAGTCCAAATGCCCACCATCTTTGTACTGGATGAGTAAAATTGTATATAGTCTTATACGGGATAATTATAACACTGATAATGAGCTTACTGCTGCAAACAGAGTGACTGGATTTCACTAACATCAATACTGAACAAATGCAGCCAGACACCAATGATCTCCATTCTGCTGATTTCACATATGACATTCACGCATGAGCCAAACTAATTTATGGTAACAGAAGTTAAAAATCCTGTAACTTGGGAGAAGGAG